TTTTAATATGCCCTTCAAGCTCTAAAAGTTCAGATAGGAACCTAAAATCTTATCTAAGCTCTTTGTGACCAATTATATGTTGGGATCCATACATTTTTTAGATTTGTGAAAGGTATTGTGTTGAAATACTGTGCATCATTGAGTCCCTGCTGCAGGGTCTGGGGTAGAATTTTATAATTCAGCTGTGATGTTCTGCAGCAATAGTTTTCAGTGGGAAAAGTAATGATACAAAAAATCAGTTCAGATCAGGTGATACTGCCAAGTTAGTTTGCTTAAACACATAGAAAGCTTCTAATTTTCAGAGCCCTTTGGATTTTATAACTGTGAACTCGACCAGTACAAGAATTGGAACAAAGAAATCCTCAGTAATGCAAAATACTGTATTCTATTTTCATTCATAGCACAAGAGTCATAGAATCGACGTGTAGTGTGAAAGGAACATGCATGGGAAGTGCTTATTATATTCTCTGACAAGTTTTAAAAAGTCTAAAGACTCATTAAAAATCATAATAGTTGTATTACTGAACTTCATACATGGTTTTGGTCTCAGAGACATAAATAATCACTGGACATAAAGATGGTGCAGGCCTCATCAGATTAATCTAAGAAAGGTTCATCTAGGACTTTAGGACTCAGCACATTGCAGAGTGCTGCCTAGCAATGTTCAAGTATTGCAAAACTAAAATAAAAGTCTCACCTCCATGGATCTAATCATGACTGTCAAGTCTGATGAAGGGACAGGCAGAGAGAGTGGCAGCAACCAGCGAGGAATCAAATCTCATGAACTTGCATTTCATCTCTCAAATTGCTGGAGACATTTGAATAAAGGGGTAATGTTAAGAACTCTAAGACTGACTTTACAATACATTCCAATATGATAAGAAAAAGCACCAATAATAATGACAAAGCAAGTTATTTCCTGTCTCCCCAGAGAAGAATCAATTGAATATAGAGCCTAGCAATCCCAGACTCTCACCACTGGTAACACAACAGATTCAATGTTTTGAGGGACGATGGCAAGTATCTCTGCCCCGGTGCTATATCCACATAATTCTAATTTGCTCTTTTTAAAAGTCAATACAGGCATAAAAATTAGGTTCTTGAAGCCTTACACGCTTCATATTTACATTTATATGCAAAGTTTGTGAACTTTATACTTAACCTTCAGTTAGGTCCTTGAATAAGGGAGGCATTATAGAAGGTCTCTTTCAGAACATAAAAAAGCAGAACAAAATGCATAGACACATCCCCGTTCACTCCATACTATGTTCAGTACAGTCACGCAGTCAAAAAAAAAAAAAAAGTCACAGTAAAGCCAGCACATAAACTAGAAAGAGGGCAACTATTATTAAAAGTGATGCCAATTCCAGGCTAATTTTCTAAACTTTGACCTGGATAAAAATGTGGAACAGATTTCTGAGGAGAGTTAGCCACCTCTGCCAAACTCCAGAGAATGGCCATGTGCTTGTGGACAGAGCATTCAGTTGTGGTACTGGGGATAGAGCCCAGGACTTCCTGCATGTTAGACAAATACCCTACCACTGAACTACATGCCCAGCCCTTTTTGTTATTTATTTTGAAATACAGTCTCATTAAATTGCCCAGGCTGGCCTTGAATTTTCAATTCTCCTGCTCAGCCTCCCAAGTATCTTGGATTATGAATGTGTACCACCAAACTTGGCTGCAGATGGGCCACATACTGTATGTTGAGGATGGGGTCATGGAGCAGGAACGGTCCAGCAGAGGAAGTACAAAGGTGTCTGCAGAGTGAGGGATGCTTTTCTAAATCCCCAAATCCAAACAGTTCTGCGGTTAAATGCATACCACAAATGGCACTTGGGAGGTTCAAAGGGCAGATAATGTCAGCAGGTTTGTGGAGTCTTCAGTGTAAAGATATGTTCTTGACATACAGAGGATAGGGCTCTCTCATAGATAGACTTTGGCTAATTACATTACAAAATTAATGGGCTGTATCCATGTATTGTGTGATTCCTTAGCTCTGTTGATCAAAGCAGTGGTCATAAAGTAAGATCGATGACCCTTGCGTGGAAAAGTCATAGATCACAGATGATCTGCAGACTACTCAGGCTGCAAAGACAGGACACTTCTGTGGGTGTAGCCTGCTCAGAAGCAGACGAGTAGGAACTGCCTTTATTTTGATTGAACTGATATTGGCATCAGTCTTGTGTAAACCCTCTACATTTCTGCTGCTTATGCCAATATGGAGTACAAAAAAATGGAGGATATTTTTAGATGCATACTGCTGAAAGGGGATCCATCTACCAGCACAGGAAATGAGAAAACCTTAGCAAGAAGAGCACGCCCCGCCCCCTGCAACTGCTTCCTCTCCCCTCCTGTTATATTTTTCTGCTTTCTCAACTTTTTTCACTCCCTAAACATGTGCAGCACAGAATCACTCCCTAAACATGTAGACAACAGTGGAGTGAATTGAGATGAGCTGCCCTTGCTCAAGTGGTCAATGGTGGAAAACAAGTATAGCAGGAAATCTGGGAGAGCTTTACCACGTGTCTGAGAGTCTCACCTGACAACACGGCAGTCTCATGGGAACATGTTAATTTTGATTTCATATGGCCAGTTACTAATGCACTGGCCAGGGGCCACCAAATGGCTCCTTAGTTGCACTTAACTGCTTGGAAAATATCTGTCATTGTTTACCAAGGAAACAGGAGGACAAGGAAGGAGAAATGGATCATGTCATCACTTCTGGCAAATGCAGTCAAAGAAACAGTCAGAGAATATTGAGGTGATCTTTAAGTGAGTTGTTTTGTCTTTATGCAAATAGGGCAAGAATGTCATTTACTCAGTGGATGGGAGAGTGATGAGACAGGCGTGGTAGTTTCAAGGATGCTTTTTCAAAACTTTGTCCTTCACGTATCTTTCCATTGCTCTTTACTTCTAAGAAAAGATGACTCAAGCTGTGCGCCTACATGAAGAGTAAAACTAGCAGTGGGAAATGTACAGGACAAGAGTAGGAGTCATTTCTTTTTTTCTTTTTTTTTTTTATATCTTAAGCTATCTGGTCTGGTTAGGTCAATGGTCTTGAACTAACTAAATGATGCATCTTTTGCTTTCTTTAGGGGTTTTGGATGAGGGCGTGGAGTTAGCATGCATATTTCATTTGAATTTCTCACAAAATTTTAGCAGACTCTAGTTGTCTGAACAGACATCTTCAGTCCTAGTTGTCTGAAGGACTTTTTCCTGCTTCTTATGCTGAGAAGTGGGAAACACCTGTGATATTCTTGTATATAAATGCTGATGTGTAGGGACCATATCTACTTCCAGAACACTATGTTTAAGAGGATTTTGGATCATTTTTGTAAAGTTATACATGCTTAGAATTGGAGGGCAAGTCTCCGTTTGGTTTAATATATGTTATGTCATTGGAACAAAATATAATATCCTAGCAGCTTAGAGAGTTGTTGTAGCTTAGCAAGGTGATACCCATGAAGATAATTTTTGAATCATTATATTTTAGGCTCTAGGAATAATGGAAATATCAGAAGGGTAATTTGGAAAAGCAGGATGGAATAGCACAAAGGGAAAATATGTATTCCAGGACTCTTTAGATGAGAAAAATCACAATAATTCATTTTCTCCAAGACAACACACAGAGAAAGACAGAGACAGACAGAGAAAGATGAGTGGGCTGGTGGAGGTCTGAATAGAAATACATTCATTGATACTAAGACAGCATATGTTTTAAATAGAAAGAGTAATAACATCTTTTAACGTGTGGGATAAAATGCCAACCATTGTGTCTTACACTGTTTCTAGTCACTGAGATCAGTCACTGAGTTATGGAATTTAATTCATGTTTCACCTGAGTCTCAGAGATGTAATTTGTCCAAGACGACATGACAAGTATGAAGCAGAATTTGGGTTTAAATTAGGTTTATCTGACTCCAGAGTACTCCTTATTTCAACTATATCATGTGTCATAATTTTTTTGTTCCTTATCAATGGAAAATAATTCTCAATTAGTATTTTGTGTTTTCTTTAATAGCTGAGGATTTATGTCCAGCCAGAGCAAAATCACACAGCTGAATATGCTGCAAACATAACCAAAATTGTGTTTGATTACTTTGAAGAATACTTTGCTATGAATTATTCTCTTCCTAAGTTAGGTAAGAATATTTTTTTAATTTCTTATTTTTTAACATTGTCTTTCTCTTTACCTAAGTTAATTTATTCCACCCATTCTATCATCATTAATTAGTGGTCATGCCCATAATTTTATATTAATGCTTACTACATAGCAAAATATCTATTCTGGATTTCTCAACAAATAGTGCAAATATTCTTCCTTTCTGATAAATGTTTAGGTGTCATTTCCAAAAGTGCACACACAGAGGTGAAAGTACATGCACAAAGCTGCAAGCCTATTCATGGTAGAGCCAGAAGCAGCACTTAGATCAATGGATTTAAAAATCAGTACCAAACCCAATCACTTACCTGCCTTCCTAACACCAGTGCATTGAAAACCATGTGGGTAAATGATGTGGTAAGAATCCCATGTGCTCCGAATGTTCCCATTGTTGAGTAAAACCAATTCTAGATTCTTCAGTAGTTACTCCTCTCAAAAATGTAGGTTTTTCCACCATATGGAAGGAGGCATGTTTTCTTTTATCGATAACAGAAGTACTTTATTCATAAACTTGAAGTGCATCAGCAGAACTTTTAAATGTAAGCCCCCTAGAGATATTTGTAGGGGTGAAATGAAGGCAGTGAGGGAACCAACCAACCAACAATTGGCTCCCCTGGGCTGCCTTTGCCCTTTGTTTAATAAGTTATCAATGCAAAGTAACTGTGATACCTGGGTCTCCCAAGGAAGACTGTTGTGGCTCTGAACAAGCTTGTAGATGCTCCCTTTTCTCTTCAGTGGAAGCAGTGCCAGTTTTTGCGGGGTTTTTTGTTTTGTTTTTGCTTAACAGCTATCAGAGGAAGTAGAAAGAACAGCAGCTTTTTGTCAGCATCATAAAAATAATTAATAAAATATCAAGCTTCTGAATTCAAGGGTCTTTTTCCCTTTATCTCACTCATAACCCCCCAAATAAACTGGGTAGTGGACCTCTGTTTCTTTCTCCCCTATCCTGTATTCATCCCTCTCCCCCACTCTGTCTTCTTACTCTGCTATGTGCATTTTCAGTACTTTCAGAATTAGCTCTAGCATGGGCTCCTTAGAAGTGTACTGGTGTTAATTAATTATAATGCCAATATTCATCAGACAAATGAAAGTACAAAAATTCCTTTTGTTCAAGGGTTAGGTGAACATCATGTTCTGCATTATAAGAATATAATTATAAGAATTATAATTATAATTCAACATTATAAGAATACTGGCCCTTAGGGGAGGGACTTCTCCACCTTTTAAGGAAGATTCTTAAAACAAAATACCCAACCCTTAAAATGAAGATAACATGGAAAAGAAGCTACTACTGTACTTTTGACCTCTACTTAAAAGATATATCATTTTTATTATTTTATAAAAAGCTTGAAAAATATTTTACCCAGAAGAAAGGGCCTTTCTTACATGTTGGATGAAAAATTCAACTTATTTTCATTTCTGTGCCCTGTGTAAATTATGCAAGAAACTACATTCTGATTAGAGTTCATTAATGGAGGAAGCTGTGTTTTGTAGTAATCAACTGAGCATTTTCTATTTTGGGATTGATTATAGAACTGCTCCACACTGCCTCCTCCTTTGGAATATTATGTCTAAGATTATGGGTCACAGAGATGATAAAGGATAGAAACTCTTCACAGAATCTAACAGTTTAGACCTGGAAGAGAATTGAGAACGAATATACTCAGTTCCATTTTTCTTCAGCTTCTTCAATACATCTAAAAAATGGTGAGCTATTAGATTGGAGGAGAATCAAGCTGACCTCAAATTGCAGAGTTAGTGAGGAAAATGGAGTTTTACATTCTCTGATATTCTGTGTCCTCAGTTAGACTTCTATTTCTGTGCACTTAGAAGCTCTGCATTCCTTAGTCTTCATTTAAACACTTCATCCTTCTCCCCACAGCTTACCCCAAAACAGATGCTTCCCATTACCTAAGTGAAAATCATGGGAGGGAAAAGCTCCTAGCAATGAAGTACTGTGCAAAAAGGAACACAAGACACAAAATAATAGAGGCCTTGAAAAAATCATCCACGAGGAGCCTTCTTTTTTAAAAAAGACCACATTGATGTCTAAAACCAGCAGGAAAAGCTCCATGGAAATTTTGAGTGTATTAAGACGGAAATGTTTGCACAGATGATTATGACTTTTCACTCTAAGAAATTATTTTTAGTCTTAAAAAAAATTCAAGGAACTTAATTTGGTAAAAAAAAAAATACTATGATCAAATGGAAAGAATGTCATTCTCAGCTGGACTTTTCTTTTTCCATAGATCAAATTGCTATTCCAGATTTTGGCACTGGTGCCATGGAGAACTGGGGCCTTGTCACTTACAGGGAAACGAACCTGCTCTACGACCCTGAGGAATCGGCTTCATCCAATCAGCAGCGGGTGGCCATGGTGGTTGCCCATGAACTTGTGCATCAGGTATAGGGTCTTGACATCCAACTGCTTGCTTGTAAAACTTGCTTAAGGCCAGAGGAGTAAATTTATTTATGATTTAGCAAGCAAAAATAACCAACTCAGAAAACCCTGAGTGAAAACCGTTCTTCATGTTAACAAACACTGAATCATAAGTTTAAATCCATTGTTTTGCCATTAGTCAATCCATAGGCAGCCTTTGTATATGTTTACTACTCCCAGTAGAACCTAAATAAAGGCAATAAACCAAGAAGCATTTAATATCATTCAAAAATCAGGATAAATAAAGCAAGCAATAAGTTTTGAGTTCAATGCCTACCACTTCTGTGACATAGTGACATAATTTACATGGAGAAATGTTTTGAAGTTCTCAAGAACCTCTAGCATAAGAATAAGAAAGTAACTATCTCTCTGTTGCTTTTGACTGCAGTGGTTTGGAAATATTGTGACCATGGACTGGTGGGATGACTTGTGGCTGAATGAAGGATTTGCTTCTTTCTTTGAGTTCCTGGGAGTAAACTATGCAGAAAAAGACTGGCAAATGGTGAGCCTTAAGTGCACATGCTCCAGATCTCTGTTTCCTTTGTGCAAAGCAGACTGAGAGTTTTGAACTCTGATGATTCCCTTGAGTCACGGACCCAGGGCAGTGGTGAGTCGGGAAGTCCACTGTGGGAACAGGGAGGAGCCAGCCTTGCTTAGAACCTCTGCTCAGTCCTTAGAGAGCAACTGGCCACCACAATCTGTGGATATCTAAGACAGTGTCACTCAAATCACAGGTCAAGACAAGACCAAGACATCTAGCAAAGAAAATACCAACCCTGTGATCAAGAAAATAGCTGCCATGCTAACTCTTTGAAAAATATCTGTCTCGTTTTTTGTAAACCACTTACCCTAGACAGGTTGTTTGAACTAATGTAGAGAAGAAATAAAAGTATAAACTTAGTGTGCAAGCTCAAGTCCTGAGCACATTTCTTAGATGCAGAAATAAGTCAATTCTGTGTGTCCCTAAGGGACCAGGAACAAAAACTTTTCTGCACCCTACAGATTTTTTTTAGAAAATCTATGTATGTGTTGTATTTATATTTATATCATGTGAGTATGCTTATCAGATTATATATATGAATGTGTGTGTGTGCGCGTACACACATACATGGACACAAATGTATGGATAATTACTCGAGGTTGTGTAGTATGTAGAATACTGCCCTCTACTGGAGAAAAGTAGAAAATTAAGTGCCTGAAGCCTTTGCGTTCCTCTAATCTACTTTAAAAGTAAAAGAATAATTTGCAACAATTGCTTCTTTAAAAGTGTACGATACACCAGGATTTTCCAAGTATGGACTGTTGACACTTGGAGAAAGAATTCTTTGTGATATGAACTGTTCTGGGAATTGTGGTATATTTAGCAGTATCCCTGGCCTTTGTCTACTAGATGCCAGTGACCTTCAGGGTTCAGTTGGTAGCAAACAAAAGTGCCCCACATCCTTCCATATTGGCCCTCAGGGGACAAAATCTCCCTCGCTGAGAACCCTCGCTGAGAACCACTCATCTACATGAAAATTGATGATTGCATATTTATTGGAAATAAACCACATAAATGAAGAATTATTCTACCTTTTCATTTCCTTCTTAAAGTAACCCAATACCCTTCTTAAATCAAACCGCTGCAATAAATTATGACATTTTAAGCATCATTTTAAACATCATCTAATATTAAGATTTCAGGGTTTCCAAAACACTGACTGAACTCCAGAAGAAATTGTAAGGCAGGTCTTGAGCTTTCAATGAAATTTAATCACGTGGTGTAACCACACTCACTATTCATTCAGTCAATGCTAAAGGGGACCCAAACATGGCTAGAATATATTTTTAGCTTTTAAGTTCTCAGTTTAAGGTATTAGGAATGAAGAAATAAGATAAATAAAGATATTTGATAAGACACCTTGAGGATTACTACAATAATGGAACTTCCTTTCCTCAGTGAAAAATCTAAGGGCCAAGGATGTAATAAAACCTGACAATTATTAAATAGACAGTTGATGTCAAAGCCAAGAGTACACTCAAATTTTCTGATGCCAACAAGAAAATTCTTTCTTTCTGCTTACTTAAACCTCTCAGGTATACAAAAAGTCAAAATCCAGATCCAAATTATCTTGATTGGCACTTATCCCTTAATGACAGAACCTTGTTTATTATAAATGGAAATCACAGAATTAGAAAATGTAGACTAATATAGCATGCTTCTCTTTTAGAAGTATTTTTAATTAGCTTGGATCAATAAAGCTTTTGATTTTTTAAATTAGTAGTGGCTTAACCGATAAGAATCTTATGGCTTAAGAATTCAAATAGCAGCAGCTAATGTGTTAGATTTCCACTCTGTGCCAGGTGCTCTGCCAAGTGCTTCATATGAATCCTATTTTTAAACCTGTGTAGAAATCCAAAGTGTAGGTGTTTTTGTGACCCCCATCTTAATGAAGGAGGGAGCTTGCTTAAAATTCCAGGAGAATGGAAGGATTGAGCTTTGAGCACAGGAGATCTGACTCTCCTGCTAGACCTCTCAGCCACTCTATTTTGCTGGGAAAACCTAGGACTTAAATGACAGCTGATTGTTGAAACTAAAGATAAACTACTGTTTTCTTTGTTAATTAATCCATATTCCAATACTAAGTTGACACGAAGTAAAAACTGAACTTCAGCACTGGCAAACTGACATGTTACCTCACTTATTTCCCAGAATGAATCTGGGAACTGATGTCATAGCACAGATATGGAAATGGGTTCTGAAAGTCACACAAAAGTGGCTGAAGCAGAAGCCCTAAATGCTTGCATTTTCTTGGCCTGTCATATAGAAGAAGTCAAGGAAATTACACATTGAAGAGAATGAAACCAATATAGAGCGGTATTGTGGTTGAGATCTAGACTGTTCCCCAGCGTTGCATTTGTTTGGAAGATGATGGGATCATGGGGGTGCTGGACTCATCTGTGCATTCATCCGTGGATGAGTTCACAGCTAAAAGTGCTGTTGAGATGCAGCCTGGTTGGAGGTGGGTGCCTGGGAGTGTGGCCTGAAAAGGTTTTGTCCCTTGTGCCTCTCTTCCCTCTCTGCTTCCTGGGTACCATGGCATAAGCAGCTGTCCTCTTTAGGCCTTTCCAGCCGGTATTTCTGTCTTAGAGCCAGATGACCATGGACCGAACCCCCTGGAAACTGTGAGCCCAGTCAACCTCTTCCCTTAAAGCTGAGGGTGTTGAGTATTATGTCCCAGTGACAGGAAAGAGACTAATACCAGCAATTAGCACAAAATATAATTAGTTTGAAGGCATACTATTTTTTAAAAATAATTTGAGTGCTTTTAATTTATTTCCCCCATTCTTGTCATAGGTGGTATTATAAAACATGAATGAGTATAAAGGAAGTGCTATATGTCTTTGGCTCATTCTGTCATTTCAGCTTGACCAGGTGTTACTTGAAGATGTATTACCTGTACAAGAAGATGATTCTTTAATGTCTTCTCATCCTATTGTTTTTTCTGTGTCAACCCCTGCTGAAATCACATCTGTTTTTGATGGAATATCCTACAGCAAGGTGGGGAACATGTGGCATTGTCCTGAACATCTTTCTATTTATTGACTTTTCTTCCAGTAGATGCTTAAATATGGTAAGAATGGTTAGACTGTGCTAGATTAGTTCTGGAAAATAGTATAGAGCTTATTCCCACTGATAGATATTTAATAGCTTGTGCTTTTCAGAAGAACTGATTAATATCGGTCATTGCCATATGATTTTGAACCCAATCTTTTCAAATCTCTCTTTTTACCTTTTCTTATAGCTGCTTTCATTTTGATAAGTCAACATGTAGGATTTAAGTATCAAATTAAAATTTTTCCTTAATGATAATAAATCTTACTTTCTGCTATAGGGTCAGTAAGGAATGTTGTATATGAGGGCACCTTTTGTAGCAGAATCCTTTAGTTCTCCTAGTGAACATTTAAATCCTACTCTACTGGAAGGAAACATTTTTATAATTTTTACATAAGGTTTAAGGACAGCTCTGCTAGCATATTCTAAATGTGGCATTTTTATTTATTAAAATTCTAGGAAATGCTGCTGAAAATCTATAACCTAAAGTTTTATGTGACCCATTCTCTTCCATAACATCTCCTCCAGACATATTCCATACCTGTATCAAAATAATTTAAAGTTTTATTTTGATAATTTTCTACCCATTTCTTATAGATTACCCACTACATTAAGTGATTCCAAAGCTGCTCTAAAGCAATCTTTTTGTCATTTGGAGTGATGCCTAAAAATACTATTATTAATTTATAATTATTTGAATGGATACTTAATAAAACTGGCTTGAATGAAAAAACTACATATTAGTACTTCAAATTTCTGGTGTCATATTTTTGGGACCTCCTTACTGTTTCCATAGCATCTTTCCAGGGTTGTTCTACTCATTTTTTCACATTCTTAATGTTCCTTTTTGTCTTTGCATTAAAATGAAAATGTCCAGTCTACTTCTAGCCAATTGTAATAACTCACATAGAGGAAGCTAGAACCGGTTTCCCCCAAGTTCTAGATATCCCAGGGGCTTAAGATATTAGATCATAAGTAAATAAGTAAATAAATGTTTTAAAGCCCTTAGCCTTCTTAGTAGGTAGAAAAACAATTTAAAATGTTGGATAAATTATAAAATACTAAGTGGAGAAGGATTTTTTTTTTCTGGTAAATTACTTGGAAATTGACTTAAAAACTTGCAAATAGTACATTTTGGTATTGAGTTTATAATGCACAAAAGGAAAGTAGAAAGCAGAGGTGTGCATCAGACTCTTTGATGAAAGAAAACCAAATGAGAAGCTATGTTTGAAGAGTTTTTAATGCCTATATTACATAAATATTCATATTAAACAGATAATTCTTCAACTCTCTACTTGATTCTGCTAAATATAGTTATTTTTCCAGTTGCAATATATATATTAATAAATTATTGTAATTTTACTCTGAAACAACGTTTTTAATCAAAAAACGTGGTTTATAACTGTTCCTTTCTTTAACATTGCTCCATCTGCTGGTTCATTTGAGGAAGTGCAATCGTTATTGGAGTAAGTGGCCTTGAAGCCACTGAAACGACAATTTTAGCCACTTTCCTTTACCTTTTAGTTATTTCAGAAGCATAGATTTATGAAGGGTGTGCCACGTCATACTTTCATCCTAAAATTATAAAACTGTAACCATACAGTTTTCAAGAAATACTTTCACAAATATGATCAAGAAATAAAGTTCACAACAGAGATAACTGATAACTTGTTCCTTTACATAACTTTAATCAGCTTGATTTGTGATTTTTTTCTCCACCCTAGGGAGCTTCCATTCTGAGAATGCTGGAAGACTGGATGACGCCAGAGACATTCCAAAGAGGATGTCAGGTCTGATTTATTACTTTTAGTGATATTAAATGTAAACTACACTGACAGGTGGCTGATGAATGCGAAGGTACAGGATTATTAAGCTCAGTTCCCTCTTTACCTTCCCTTTTTAGGGACAAATAGCACAGCAAAAGATAAAAAGCAATATCACACCCAGAAGTCTCGTGGGAAAGTTTAAACAGATCTGTTATTTTTGTTCCCTTTCACACATGTATTCACTTGGAACAAAATGCCATATAGTGGCTTGGACAACAGAATTTTATTTTCTCACAGTTCAGAACACAGAAGAGCCCAAGACTGAGATGGCAGCCAATTTAGTCTGTGCTCAGGGTTCTCTTCCTGGCCCCCTCCTGGTCACACCAGCCACCTTCCTCCTGGGCCCTCGTGTGGCAGTGGGAGGGGCACTCTGGTGTCTTTCGTAAGAACACCAATCTTATCATTCGGGCCTCCCCATTGCCAACTCATCTCGACTGACACAAAGCCCCATTAAGAACACAATTCACCCATCTCAACATGATGTAAAATTTAAATATGTCCAAATGGCTATTCTGTTACAATAAGTATGCAACTTTATCCTTCTTGATGGGCTGGAAAATGACTTGATTCTTTTTTCAAGGGAATCAGTGAATAAAGAGAGCCCATTTCTTTTTGGAAAGAGAAATGAAAGCAAGTTTTCTAAAGGTTTTCCCACATCCCACTTCAGCATATTCCTCCAGTGGGTATTTTGGGCTCATTTTTATTTCTCTAGAAGATCTAAGCCAACAGTCTCAGAGCTGCTGCTTTATAATTTGTGTCACTCCAGTCGTCACAGTGTGAACATCCCTGTCTGTAGGTTGGCCCTGTAGAAGGCTGGTAGGATTGGATCCTAGTCCGAATCCTTGCTTCCTGTCTTTGTTCTCCCTGCCTGATAACCCAGATATTTAGGTGCAGCAGTGCTGGGTGTATCCACCCCACAAAGAGAAAACAGGCTGGGGAGCAGCACCCCATTGACTTTCACACAGAGCACAGTACTTCTTTGGCACGTGACTCCCTGGGACAGAGCCAACAGCCCCATTACGGCTGTGTCTCAGTGACATTTAGCTCTTCCTATGATACTCTCAAAAGAATTGCTTTCATTTGGACCAATGCTAAAATTTTTGGTGACTACTAAAGTAACAACTAAGACTGAGATTTCAGAACAATATATGGAGTGTGCCAGTATTTTAGTCTTGTTTACCAACAAGGTATTCTATGCAGAGATGAGGCACAAAAGGAGAAGCTCTGTGCTTCTGCTTATGTGCACATAAGTATATTTGTAACTTTCCCATCAGCTTCAAACTCCCAGATCCTCACACTTTGTCTGATTGTAAGTACCTTCACTGAGAAACTCCGTGTATCCTTTCTATCCTCCAGTGCCTACCAGAATGTGTTACACACAGTAGATGGTCCAGATGACATTTGTTGAATGAAAGCCTGAATAGTCCATAATAGTGAGAACATAGTTATTAAAGAAAGAAGGTTCATTTTCAAAAATTAAAATTCCATTTGCATAGTTTTTCAGTCTACATCAAATTGTCATTGGTAAATAAAATAACATATCTTTGGTATCTTCAGAACTGACCTCAAATTAAATGATCTTTCATATTAACTCTTTTAGGGAAGCACCAGAAGAGTCCTTAAAAGTGAACAGGTAGGGCTAGGGACTTAGCTACAGATTAAGTGCTTGCTTGGCTTGAACAAGGCCCTGGGTTCCATTCCCAGCCCTGCAAACAAAAAGAGTGAGTAGGTGGTCTAAGAATTCAGTGATGCACCCACATTTCCTTTACTGTGCCATCTACATTATAATTAACTTTAAAATTCTTTTCTAAGGCTAATTATGTCTCAAGTTAAAACAGTCTTGCTCCACCCTGTGAATGCAGGCAGTACTAGAAACTGAATTAGGATGAACTGAGAGTAATTTCTTCTACTAGTACAGTGCTATAGAGTGATTTACAAAAAACTCCACCAAAACACTCTTTTTTTCATCTTCAAATATCAATTAGTACCTGAAAACAGCATGTGGTCCGTATAAGCCACCTTCCTTAAGCTCTCAGGCAGCTTGGATATTCCTTCACAGCGTTGGAGCCCGCACACGGTGTCTCCTTGAGCTGAGGTGATCACACTGGTTCTGCCCCTGAGTCAAGTCGCATTGCCCCGGCGGACTCTAACTTCCGGGCAATGCATTGCTCCGTGAGTTAACCTGGGGGTGCTGAACCTGGGCCCGGCCAATTGTCTTCTCTCTTTCATCTTCATCGCCTTCCCCCAAATCCAACAGCAGACAACAAAGTAGGTACAGGGTGGGAGAAAGAATCGCAAAACCATCTACTGCAAAACCCTGTTGGTAATAGGTACAGTTTGTTAATGGGGCATAGTAACAAATGTGGTTATCAAACAGAAACTAAAAATCACATCTGCCCTTTCTTTTTCTTTGGGTGCCCACAATATAGCTGCTAAGACAGGAAGGGCTGAGCTGGAAAATGTCCTCTCTCTTCCTGGGATACACGGATCCTGGCCTTTCAGGTTCTGCAGTTCCTGCTGATGAGGGATTGTGACCTCGGCTTTCATGTCATTTTGACCGGAATGATGGCATTGTGATTATTCACAGTGAGGAAGGAAATTTCTTAAATGTTGAATATTCAGAAGCACTAATTAGACAAATAAAATCAGAGCCTTTTGCTATAGTGTTTATATAAATTTCCATTGGACCTGTAGTCAGGAGAAGCAGTAAAATGCATTTTGTAAAATTTAGTAAATTGCAATTTAAAATACAACCGCGATGGAAACCATACTCACTGGCAGGGTTCGGGACTCTCTGCATAGTAATCTCCAGCCAATCTCTTTACCTCTGTGCCCACCAGGCAGAGCCACTCCCTTCACTTCAAAAATGTGGGATTTGTAGTAGAGAATATTAATGCCCATCTGATTCCTGAGATCACAAACTTTGTGAATATGCAAATAAATATTCCAAATTAATTTTAAAAGATACTATTCAATATAAATTGTTATTAACACATACATATGGTTACAGCGATTAGGAGACTAAGCATCCAATTGTTTAGTTAAAATACACTGGTTCTCCAAGCACTCTGGGAGCAATACCTAGCAGTGATAGATATTCGCTGCTTCTCCTTTCCTCTGCCTGCCCTCTAGTGGTAACATTGAGAAGTGCACTCACCTCTAGAATAAACATGGAGGCAGCGCGCCAAACCCTCCTCTAGGGTTCTCAAGAGTTATGCGAATTTTGTCTTCTCTCTGTGCGTGAAAGAAGAAGAATTGTAAAAGTAATGTGACTTGGGTACAGCACCTACTGAAAGTGATGCCATGTTAGATTGCAAATGGTATGTGTAAAGTTAACAACTAAGAACATTTAAGAAGGGTTTGGGGGTGTGGTTCAGCTGTAGAACACTCACGTAGTGCACATGAGAGCCTTGGGCTCCAGCTCCAGCCCTACAAGCCTAAAAAAGAAGATTCTATTTCTATATTTCTATCTAAGACGTCTGCCTTTTAATCAGGATTCATACTTCTAAGACAGCAGGAACGTAGGAAATTTCCTGAAGAATCCCCAGCAGTGCCTGGTTGTGGGATTAAAAGACTAGAGGTTTTCTCCGGGAACATGTTAAACTATATGAGAAAACTCATCCACAGGAGGTTTTGTGAACAGAATTGACCAAAGAGGAAGTTTTCTATTTAAAGATATTTTAAGATATTTTTAAAATACTGGAACAGTGAAGAACTTATTTTGTAGAGCACATAATTTTCTCTCCCATCATTATTATCAATATTGTTGTTCCAGAGCTTGCATGTTTATTTTCTTAGAGCACAGATCAGTAAAGTACTGTGTATAAGCCAAACCTGGCCCACCCTCCATTTTTTTTTAAGGTTCATGACCTAGAAAAGGGATCTGTATTTTAAAATCATTGAAAATTCAAAAGATTATGTTATAACATATGGAGATTATATACAATTCAAATATCAGTGTGCATAAATAACATTTTATTGGAAGACAGCAATGCTGTCTGATTTACATTTGGTCTGTAACTGGTTTTGTGCCACAGGGGCAGAATTCAGCTGCCGTGAGTTTGAGAAAAGCCAACACTGACTTCTGAAATACTTACTATGTTTCACATACAGATTTACTTGCAAAAATTCCACTTCAAGAATGCAAAAACTTCAGATTTTTGGGAAGCATTGGAAGAGGTAAGAAAGAGTGTCTCCCCAAAGATTTCTTTGATTTACAAACCGCATCTTTATGACCATTCTTTTGTTTCCCTTTACTTACAAATGAACTAGTCTCTGTATTTTTTTCTATCATCAGGCCAGTAATCTACCCATAAGAACAGTGATGGACACCTGGACATCCCAGATGGGTTACCCTGTGCTGGCTGTCAGTAACAAAACAACCATCACACAGAAACGCTTTCTGCTGGACTGGAGAGCAGATCCGTCCCAGCCACCTTCAGATCTCGGGTAAGGCTCTCCGGTGCATTTTGAAAGAGAAGTGGAAATGTGGCAGAAGCGCTGGTCATGTGCTTATAACCTGCTCTCAAGCATGTGACTGATGTGTGCAGATATAAAGGCACAGTGCCTGTAGGGGAACCACATGGTCCCCAAATAGCTGAGTGGTTCTCAGGTTCATGACCGTGGGCTGTGCACCTATCTCGTGTCTATTCCTCCTGGACACCCCTGGATACAGGGATGGAAGCACTAAAGGAATGAACTTATGACAGTAAAGAGAATAAATGCACCATGGAATTCTAGAAGAAAAGCAGAGAAGAGACAGACACAGGATGAGGAAGGTGAGGCCAGGCAGTAAGAGGGAGGCCCCCTTAGCCCTGGCCAGGTACTGGGCTCAGTGGCAGCATGAAGAATGGAAGCCAGGGGTAAAAAGAGGTGCAGGCAATAGGGCAGTTAGGGTGACCTCTACACACAGGTCAGAAGTGCCCCTGTGCATTCTCTTCTCCTACTACCAACCCCCTCTCTGTGCAGAGCTCCCAGAAACTCACAATAACCCCAGGAAGAAATCTGCAGGACTTGATTCCTAGCGCATGGACTAATAGCAGCGGGGAATGAAGGGTTTCTGTCCTGCCCCTTCTTCCATGATGAAGCTGCCTCAGGGTGGGACTGGGGCTTCTGGTCAGTGCTGGCCGGTGGAAAGGCTGCCTCAAAAGCACACTCCTTCCTTAGTAGTAGACAGATCAAGAAAAATTGACTTAGGATATTTTCTTTTCAGTGCTGCAGATAGAATTCAGGGCCTTCACACTAAGCTACATCCTCAACCCCTTTTTCATTTCTTATTTTGAGACAGGGTCTTGCTAAGTCACTAAATTGCCCAAGCTGGGCTTGGATTTGCAGTTGCAATCTTCCTACCTCACCCTCCCAGAGTACTAAGATTACAGGTGTGTGCTGCCACACTCGGCAAGTTTTTTCTTTTCTTTAATATGAATGGACCATCAAGGATCACAGGGTACAGGAAAAATATATAAGCATAAGAGGTTAAAGTCTCACATGAACAAACAACATAAAAAACCTGACTCTATAAGATGCATAATGGAGGAAACAAAATAAACTTCTGAAATTCTTCAGAGATCAAAGAATAAGACTGCCTAGTGGTACCTCAGTTCACGAGCTCACTTCCCACCACTGGAAAACAGTGCCCAACATCCACAACTTAGAGGAGGAGATACCAATTTAGGCTCCCAGTGTCAGTCCCTGGCTGGCTTCAAGGCAGATTAGCATGGGGAGGGGCCTGGTGGAGGAAAAGCTCACCCCATGGAGGCCCGGAAGCAGAGAGAAGGGAAGAAAAGGGAGGAGACAGATGCCCCCAGGCCTCGCCCCCAGTGACCTGCCCCTCTGACAAGAGCCCACCTTCTAACAGCACATTCAGTGGTGAACTCAGGAGTGGATTAATCCAAAGATGAGTATGGCACCCCATGACCCAATCACCTTCCAAAAACTTAACATGAGACTTTTGGGGGACATTTTAGATCTAAACCATTACACTGGGCATCATTCAGTTTCACTCATGCCCCATTTTTATTGTCCTCTCTTTCAACTTTTGATACTGTACCTAGTTTGGGTAGAGAGAACTTTATGCCTACTCACAGTGTCCTCTTGTCTCCACTGCCTGATTCTCGCTGCAGGGGACCTTTGTCCTCTTTATCTCTTTCTTAATGGGCTCATGGACATTATTTCATAATCGTATATGTAAATTATCACAATATCAGTAACAATTGGAATCACACGAGAAAAGAGAATTTTCAGATTTACAGAAAGTGTTTTGGACAATGTTTAGTGACTACAAATTGATTCCTGTATAGTTACTGTTTTATATGCTAGCACATTAGCTTGGCCAATTTTAGGACTGCTCAAGCCTTTAGATAATAAAATCTTAAACAACTTTCTTTCTTGTGAAACAAGCTGCCATTTGGAAAACAGCTCAGTAATTACTGTCTCTTGTTACATGGGTTCCCCGTTGGGGCAGGAAGCATGGGCTGAGGTTGCAGAAGATGTTTATTTCCAAGGTGCAATATTTAAGGTGAATAAATGCACATGAGTGGGATTTAATATACCCCCGGGATATTCAAATGTGAGTTGTGATATGCACGAAGGTCACAGAGTGTAATACACAGCATTGACCGAGCATTGACCCAGGGGCCCGCAGGGTTTTAAGCAGGTGAGGTGTATTTTATAAGAACAGGTGAAGCAGGGAGTGATGAAGGAACTGCTTTAAGGTCACCTAGGGAGTCAGTCATAAAGCTTTGCTTTGAACACAGAGCCAAGAAGCTGGACAGCGCTGAGCTGCAGGACAGTGCTGAGAGGTGTGTAGGTGTAAGGAGGCAGGGACAGAGTGTGCAACTGCATGAAAGATTTTTGGCAGTGGTGTGCAGGTTCATGGAGGACTGTGAGGGCCATACTTGCATTTGTCAGGGATCCCCCCGATTGCAGTTTGGCGCAAATCAAGGGGTGCGAGTTTGTGTGGAAGTCAGGTGACCAGTTAAGGTGACATCGTAGCAAGGGACCCTGTGAGAGGGGCTGGAGAGGATGTGCACAGCCCAGGAGGGCAGCTGGGCTGGAGAACCTGGCAGATGGTCCAAAGATTAGAAGGGAGCTAAGATTTTCTAATGAAAAAACTAAACAGTTTACCAGAGATCCAGTCAGATGAATTTGCAGACAGAAATCTCCCTTTAGACTTGGTTTCCATCTTGTAGGGTGATGGTCAGAGCGTATTTTTAGAGGAGGCAGGAAGGATTTGCACAGGTTCTTTAGGACAGGTGTACAGGAGTCAGTGGGTACCAGAGCCTGTTTCCTGTGTGCAGTTCAGGGCTGAGGGAACAAAGCCACCCTAACATCTCCCCAGTATTAAACTCACCAAAGCACTTGACTCTCTGAGGCATCAGAAAGAAGGGGGAGCACCCCGAATTACAAGGTGAGCTGCTTCCAAGATGCGGCTGGTGCTGGATTTGGAGCAGTAGGAAGCACGCAGGGTGTGCACCTCCATCCCACTGCAGCCTGACCTCCAGGGAGCCTCAGTTGCTCAGCTCTGCCAAGCTCAGAGAAACAAGGCCCCTTGCTCTGAAGTAACTGTTCACACCACAGCAACAGAAAACATGAGCGCCCAGACCAGTGTGAGGTTGCTCGGGGCAGGTGTGTATGTGCTTCTTTACCCTGTTTATTCTTCAGAAGGGAAAGATTATGGTACAGAAAATAGCTTTGGCTTTTTACTCTTTCCTCTTCTGATGCATGAATTCAATCGTAGATCTGACTCATTTGCAGGTTTTAATTGAATTACTAAAATCAACACAGGAATCTTCTGTGAGCATTGTGTTAATAACTATAAACTGTTTCTTTTATAGTTACTGTTTTATGTTCTTTCAAAGTAGACTGGACTTACTTAATGCTGCTAGAGTCTTTGGCTATTACAGTAAAAAGGAAAACAAATTTCTCTTGCAAGATAAATTTCCACTGGGGAGGTTTCCCTGTAACTCTTGTCCAGTGCTGTGAATCCACAGAGTGGTAAAACCCAAACCTTCCACACTGGTTTTGAATCGATAGGGTTAGACTTTTTCTTTTTCTTTTTTTTTTTTTTTTTGTCTTTTTTGAAACAGGGTCTTGCTCTACAATTCAGGCTGGCCTTGAGCTCACTTTGTAGCCCAGGCTGGTCTCGAACTTGCAACAATCCTCCTGCCTCAGCCTCCCAAGTGCTGGGATTACAGGCGTGTGCCACCATGCCCTGCTCATAGGGTTAGACTTTTTAACCATTGCTTGAATGTGAATTCTTTTCCACACAATTTTATTACCAAATGAATTAGATACATTATCACTATAAAATCACTTTTTAAATAAAAAATCTTTAAATTTTATTCCCTAAGACCTAGAGAAAAGGGCTATGTTAACATTTACATTTTTATCTCATATTTGTCTTTATTTTCTGCCCTCAGATATGGTTTTTATTTTATTTACATTCTTAAAAGCATGATTTTTAGTGATCATTTATCATAAAGTCAGTATACTTATCCTAGTTTTGTAAGATAAAAAAGTTTCATATAAGTTAGAAAAGAAACTTTAGAAAATAGGTTCTTTCTTCCCTGTTGAGAGTATTTGCTAAAAGTACTCTCAGAGAGTAGTAGCTGTTGAATGACTAAGAAAATGTATTACCGCAAAAGTGAGCCTCCCTTATTTTTCATTTCATTTAAAAAATGAAATCACAATAGATACCTTCATGTCCCCTGAAAGAAAATGATTCTTGTCCACATTCTAAGGTTTGAAATCTTTCTCTCTGTTCATATATATTCCATGTGGTAGACAGTATGACCAGTTAGTTTATGCTATGAATTAAACTATCTTCTAACTGTGTCTCACTGTTTAATCAGAGATTAGAAAAACTTATGCAACAGAACTATAATTAAAAGACCCACCTAGGAGTAAAGTATTGGGTTAATACTATGGCCTCAACTATCTCATATAAGTGGACAACTCTCCTCTCCCCCTCCATTAGAAGGACTTCCTTCCTTTCTTTTTTCTCTCTTTCTTTTTCTTTCTTTCTTCTTTCTTTCTTTCTTTCTTTCTTTCTTTCTTTCTTTCTTTCTTTCTTTCTTTCTTTCTTTCTTTGTTTCTTGCTTGCTTGCTTGCTTGCTTGCTTGCTTGCTTGCTTTCATTGTATGTGGAATAGGGGATTGAACCTAAGGCCTCTTGTATGCTAGGCAAGGATTATAACACTGGGCTACATTCCCCATCTGAGGGATTTCTTTATCAGACAAGCTTTCAAGCTGTTGACAGGCCATCCACTGTAAGCAGGTAGCATCCTGGGACTAGAGGTGCCTGCTGGGGCAGTCAAAGTCAGTTTCCTCAGAGAAAGTTAGATCAGCCACATTTAATATGAATGGAGCCTATTATATACCTAGGGCACTAATTATGCCTTTAAAAGATGAATTCTGATCCTTCTGAAGTTTAGATAGCATAGAGAATGCTCTGTCATTTCATTTATACAGTTTCATTTCTTGACATTTTACATTCCTAAATCTATCATTTTACTCAGTTTAGACAAGATTAAATCCTATGACACTAAAATTTCAAAATTATATAGCCTCAACGTATCACTTTTTTCTTACGATGTCTTAAAGACCTCACTGCAGTATTTTTATACCTGACCTAGTACAGCTGCAGGCCACTTTTAAGCATGGTGTATGTAGTCCTGGCCACCATGGTCTAGTAGGGACAGCCGAGGTCTGAAATCTCTACTATGTGCATAGGTCTCTGCCAGCTCTGTGGCTTCCATGAGGCTGGTGCTGGGGAAGATGAGGAAGAAGGCAATGTCAGTGTTGGGTAACGCAGATAGGAGGGTCAGTGAAATAGGTAGAAATAGATAGGATGGTCAGTGAAATCGGTAGGGTGGAGCTGCTTAAAAATGCTTGCTTGTGGAGGATAAGTTTGAGTTATTTGTAGGAAAATGGGTGCATTTGAGACCACAGTGTTAAATGTAATAAGTCAGACACAGAAGCTTAAACATCACATGGTTTCTCTTATATGGAACCCAAAGTATAAATGAAGAGCAAAATAAAAGATAGGCAGGGAGGTAGATCTTTTGCAAAAGAGAGGGAGACCAAGAGATGGGGGTGTGGAGAGCAGAAGGGGATGAAAGAAAAAAGAGTTAAAATGCGTTGTATACAAGTACAGGTCCCAAAATGAATGAAGCAATCATGTACTGCAAACATGCACGGATAAAAATTAAAATTAAAAATAAATGCATCTTTGCCTGCAAAGGAGCTGCAAGACCCTTAGGATGGATGCCCCTAGAGCAGAGCCAGAGGCGACCACTGCCATGAATGAGACTCCTTAAGAAGGTGTCCAGGAAAGAGTTCTGTGGCAGGGTGGGAGCCGCGTGGGGAGGCAGCCACGCAGGTGCTGTAGGAAGCAGGTCTACAAGGGAAGCAAGCTCAGGCTCGCAGGGGAGCCCTGGAGCCCAGGCAGGCTGTTTTAGAGTGTGTCTGATGCAAGGAGGGTTCTCCCCATCATCGGTCATTGCAGAGGGCAGTGGCCCCAAGCAGTCTCGACAAAGAGCTGGTGCTGTTAGGAAGGTGAGTCAGCGTCTGGGTTTAGGAGCACGATAGAGGCACAGAGATCAAGGTGACATACCAAGAGTGTCTACGACAGGTCCCCAGAAAATAATCTGTACACTGGCTTTATGAAACTTATACCCCCAAACATTCCCTTGCAATAAAACTGCAAAGGATATAGTAAAAATTCAATAGTCATAAAACAAAGGATTCCTTCTTTCATGTAGATAGCAAAAACTTTCTCTCCTTGAATAATATCAATTTTATTATTTCTTAAAAAGAAGAAATGCCAACCCTAATTCTCTGCTAGGGAACTGAATGTTAACAGATCAACCAACGCCGATGCAAATTCAGACCAGCGGCAGGCACACGGTTTCCTCTTCTCTCTAGATCGCCTGTCCTTATATGTGAGATGATGTGAGAACAAACCATTAAAAGACATTTCTAATCTTTTTTGTGAATTTTCAAGGCTACTAAGCAAGGCTGGGATTATAGCTTGGGGGCATAGCTCCTTCCTGGCAAGTGCAAGGTCCTGAGTTTGATCTCTGGTTAAAAAAATAAATAAATAAAAGATAGTGGTGATATAATTTCAACATAGTTTTTCACATGTATTCCCTTCATAGAATTTTACAGATTGTCTTTTGAATTCTAACAATGTTTTGTGTTCTTTGATAAAAATTGCAGCATACTGAGAGTTTAAACAAGTATGTGTGTGTATAAATTTTCAATATTGCATTATATTTATGTAATTTTTGTAATATCTTTGTTTTAAAGCCTCAAGAATAATTTTCCTCAGCCTTAGCTGTTTTTATGCAAATTTCTGTATTTTATGGATTTATAAAAATTGAGAGCAGTCACATGGGCTACTTTCATCACTAAACATATTGTGTTGATTGTTTTAGTTGCATACTGCACTTGGGGTAATCAATTATAATGAAAACACGTTTGTCTATTGTTTTTTATTTTTGAATTTGTATCTTTTGGTAATAAGAGTTAAATTTGTCTTTTCTAAAAATTTTAGTTACACGTGGAATATTCCAGTTAAATGGACCGAAAGTAATGTATCAACTACTGTAGTCTACAATAGGTCAGAAAAAGGAGGTAAATACCAATTGATTTATTTCTTCTTTGAATTGATGTAATACATTATAATACTATAAGCATAAAAATCAATAATAAAATTTAAAGTTATGTAGATTTAAGCTAAAAGAGATTTCTTAAATAATTTATCAGTGATTCCAAATCTTTATCTATAATAAGAACTTTTCCATCGTGAGATATTCTTTTTACAATGTAACATGACGTACAATAATATATACCAACAGCCAAGGATGGGGGACATACCCAACCATTGGAAGACCAAAGTATAAACTAATTTCCTTCCTTCCTCCCCTCTTCCTTCCTTCTTCCTTCCTTCCATCTTTCCTCTCTCCCTCCCTCCTTGCCTCCTCCTTTCTTCTTCCTGTTTCTTTCTTTATATTAGATAAGTAAAGCATTGGATTTCTTAAAATGTTATATGATGGACCTTTTCTTTGTTTTTTTGGTTTTTGGTTTTTCTCCGGTACCGGGAACCGAACTCATGACCTTGCTCTTGCTAGGCAGGCGCTTTGCCGCTGAGCTAAATCCCCAGCCCCTGATGGACCTTTTCTTTAAAAGGCTGATTTAGTCTAGTCATTTTCTTGAAATATATTTCTGTGTTCTTGTTCTATTGATTTGTCTTTTCCTTACTTGGAAAATATTACGTAAAAATAAGGAGATGTTTTACAGACCTCCAAACCATTGGGGAAATAACAAATAAGGCAAGTATTAGCAACAGTCCCAAAAGATCCTTGCTTTTCATACTTTTACCATTGTACTTGTTCTGTGTTTCAGACAATTTTAGAGCATTTTCATCACTTCAAAAAAAAAATCCCATGCCTCTCCTAAACAGCCACTAATTTATTTATGTCTATATAAATTTACCTATCCTAGACAATTGCATATAAATGAAACAATGTACATAATGTTCTCTGACATTTTTCAATTAATGTTAACCATGTTGTAGCCTGAAAGAGTACTTTATTCCTTTTCATTGACAAGTTATATCTGATTGTATAGATATGCCACCTTTTCCTTACTCATTAGGTTAGGGTTGATAGAAATTTGAACCATGTCTACCCTTCATCTTTCATGAATAATGCTGCTATAATAATTCATGTACAAGTTTTTCTATGCATCTAGTAGGTGCTCTCTTCCTGTTTTATTTTTTTAACTTTATATTGTAAACTCTTGTGATTATGGTTTCACCATGAACTTTACCAGCTCTGGTTTTATGGAAGGGAGGCTCCTTTGTCTAGGGGGCTTTCTTAAGAGAGATCACTACTGCAATAAGGCTTTCCCTCCGTCATTTATGCCAACAATTATGATAACATTGTGGTCAGCTATTCTGAATTTTTCCAGAAATCCCAGATAATACCATTTTGTCTTAGTATTTCCATACATTTAGGTTGTGTGTGAGTACCAAGTTCTCGTTCTTGTGGTCTATCTTCTGTCCATTTTCTTACTCATAACCATATTTGCCAAAAGAAAATGGAGAAGAGAGAAAAAAGACACTTCAAAATGTGTAACAGCACTAGTAAAAAGCATATTAAGGAGGTTAGGGTTTCATCGGGTGGTTTTCGTGGATTTGGTATAACTCTTAACATATATTTTCCTCATTCTTCACCATGTTAAACTGAAGGTTGGAAGAATGTCTTGGCAGCAGCTTGATTTGCTGTTTACAAATTTTGAAAATGAATAATTTATCTACCCTACCCTAACACAATTTATCCAGCGTTTTCATACAATGCAGATAAATTTATCCAGGTGAGTTTACCAGATAACTAAGCCTTCCTTTATAAATTTATTTAGAAAATAAACTTCAAAAGTTTAGAATAAGCATCTTTTAGTATGTTTATGTACTTACTAGGTAGAATATTTGTTATGCTGAATTTAATTCTCGAATAATTAGATAATTCAGGCAAGTGTTTAAGGCACACAGCTATAACCCCAGTACTTGGGAGACAGAGGGTTGAGGCAGGAGGATTGCAAATTCAAGGCCAGCGTAGGAAATATGGCAAGGTTCTGTCTTGAAAAGAAAACAAAACAACAAAAAAGTAGGTATGTATTAAAACTAACACACAAGCCAGACACTGGCCTAGAGATAATGCAGGGGTTGGGGGAGCTCAAGCCTTCCCTGTGTGGATGGTGGTGCAGGGCTGTGTCAACAGGGAGACAAGGACTGTTCTAGATGGCTGGTGCAGGGCTGCGGATATAGCTCAGTGGCATAAATGCCTGCCTGGCAAGCACAAGGTCCTGAGTTCGATCCCTGGTACCAAAAAAATAAATAAATATGAAAATAAAAAATAGATGGCTTATGTGGTGACTCACACAATGAGGGGCACCACAGGACAAGCACCGGCCCTGACTGCGGACAGGAAAGATTACTATCAAAAATGACACTGAGACAAAGAGCTTAGGAGCTAACTGTAGGGTTCAGTGGGTGACAGGGTTGACAGAGTGTAGGGGGACCTGTGCAGGGGACAGAAGGCTGGCATGCACATGGGAGGAGAGGGGACTCTCCTTTCTGTCCCTCTGGGCTGACATTTAACATACTTTTGGCTCTAACTATTGACTTATCTGTGTCTCTCCTCCCCCTGGGCATTCCTGGAGAAACGGGTGCTTATTTGCTGTCATGCTTGAACACAACATACTCCATCAGGTGCTGTCAGCAGGCGCCTAATACTTGCTTATCAAATGAGAGCATGCAAGAGTGAGTGGGTAGACGGATGAATGAAAGCGCCCTGATACTCACGGAGCTATGAGGACAAACCCACCTTTATCTGAAACTTCAGAATCATGATCAGTCACCTAGCCAGAAGCAATCTAGACATGGCTTCTTACTTCAAAGTGCCCGCTCCATTTTTAGGCTATGCACTAAGTTCCTGTTTCCTGTTTGAGGGCATCTCAGCTCCTAGCTCAGAGCACAGATGACAAACATGTCCTGAGTGTACTGAATGGGCACCCAGCTCATGTTACCCATCCTGCCTCTCTCCTCCTCATTTCTTTGATGATTCACCAGTTAGAAATTCCCCAGGCAACAGCGGGACTTCCCCCAAGATATTTCACTTGCATTCATATCGTACATCATCTTTCAAGCATTAGAAAGAAATGAAACTTATAATTTTCAAAAAGCAAACAGTACCTCTAAAACAAAACTTTTTCTGGCTATGTCAACCTGTCCTAAAATAGAAACAAAAACAAAAATAAAAACAGAAATAAAAAAAATTTTCTCATTTTAATAAATACTAGCTGGATCCCATTTTGAAAGGATTTATTCTTATCAATGAATTTATCTTAGCAAAGCATTACACATTTTCTTATCCCTAGTGCTATTTCCTCATTGGGATTTTACCATGAAATAGTCATTAGAAATACTTTTTTCTCTAGTATATTTCATATTCATTTCATTGGTCCTTATTTCTAGTACTGTTACACTGTACTTTAAACAAAGCAATAATAATTTAAGGTGCTTTGCTCTCTCTTTTCTTTTCCAAATAAATTATAAACTCCTTGAAGACACAAACTACACATCCTATTTCTGGTCCCCTGCCCACATAATAATAAGGTACTATGCACATGCTAGGAGTCTGATAAGTCCTTTCTTAACAGAGGGTCGTATTTTCCAGTCTACTGTGTTTTAGAGATGGCCTGCGTGCATTTTAGTTATGTCTCTATTTTAGTACTAGCTACTCTTTTGGAGGTCAATACATCTACATTTAGTAGTATACTATGTTTTTGTTTTTACTTTGCTACTCTCTAACAATCAGTGCAATTGCAGGTAATCAATCTTGCTAAAATAGTATTTTCAAGTAGGCATTCCTAAGAACATAGGGTCTGAGAGAGGGCCTAAGTCCTCAGAGAAGTGAAGACTGGGGTGACTACTTTTCTGACTCCTACATTTGAAGCTACCCTCTGGAAACTTTAGATTACCACATTCTGACTATCATAGAAGTGGAATTTGCTAAACATTTATAATAGCTATATTTAAAGGTGTATTCCCCGAGAAATGATGAGTATATGCGTCCATATGTGATGAATGGCAAGAGGGAAGAACTTGCTTCATTTTTTCAAGCTAAGCCACATGGAATGTGTGAACTTTGGGTGATTATGGATTTGGTTTTGCTGGTTTAGAAGCTCAGTGCATCAGTTCAACTCTGGTCAACCCCAAGTCTTGGAAGATTTATTCACCTAAACCAAACATACAAGAGATTAACCAAGAATGCTAATTTGTTAATTTACACAGATAAAATATACTGGCCAAGTGCACCAGCAAACTCACATCAGCTAATTAGGTATCTCTTCCCAGGAAGAAAGTTTACTTAGGAAGGATTAGAGGAGAGTTAAAGTAGATCGATTATTTTAAAGATGTCATCAAGCTGTGATAGCCAGATATATTGCATTATCCAAATGGGTCTAATTATTGCATTTAGCAATTATCAATAGTGGCCTGATGCCATAAAAGTTCCTTGTTTGGGCAGTAGTTCCAAAAGAGATATTCCTGGCTTGCCATCTCTCCAAGGCGGCTTGCTACCAAATTACAATTTAGAATTCTGTTTTCTCCGTTTTTGTAGTTCTACCACCGTCTGTGTGTTGGCTTCCCTTGCTGGATCTTTTATATCTGGCAGAAGAGGGGAGGCTAATGGAGGACCAGCCTAATAGCACATTTGTTACTTCTGTCTGTGTTTTGTGACCAGTTCTCAATCTTGTGCTGCTACCTAACCACAAAGGAGGCTAATTATACAGTCTAGCTCTGTGCAGAAAGCAAAGGGAATAATGTGGTAAACGACTAACTGATCTCTGCCATGTACCTTCATGTCTGTGGAACCAAACCTCTCAACTGCCTGGAGTACTTTGTAAGTTCAGCTGGGCACTGAATTTCCTGGGCCACTGGAGACACGTGGGCAGATCTTCACTAACCAAACCTCCTTGGCAGTTATTCTTTCCAACAGCCCAAATCACCACTGATGATAATGCTTCCTCATGATAGACAGGCAGGTTCCCTTTTCCCAGACTCCTTGTTCATTGCATATTACATATATAAACTACTCCTTTCTTTTCAAGCAGATACTTTAGACTACAGATTGATATTGGAGGGTGATCTTGTAATTATTACTACTACAGTCGTGAATATTTTCTTGAATGGATTACTTATTGAAAGTGTTATCATATTGACATCAATCCATTTACAATAGGTCAGGTCAGCCTAAATTTTCGGGTTTGTAGTTTTCTACCTTGACTCCAAATAAGATGATATATTTTACTTGAAAGTTTTAGCTCTTGAAGCACACTTTGTGTATCGTTAATCCAAAAGTACTGCTCTTGTAACTTTCAACTCTTTTACTGTTAAGTGATACGTAAAACTTAAAAGACGTGAACTCTTGTCTTTTTACCGAGAAAAAGCTTTGCTTACAAGAGTAGTACCACACAGCCATTAGGTACTAAGGAAAAATGTTCCCTTATCTAGGACTCTTATGTTGTCACAAGTTATTTGTCTAAGGTTTGTTATAACTATTTACATAAAATAGTAACAATAATTGTCATGCATGCCTCTTTTGAAAGGGTAATCATAAGTTTTCTCTACCATTTAGACAAATGATAAGAGGGAAAAAATGAGAATTTCTTAGAGTTCCCTACCCAGAAAAAAGTTCACTCAACGCTTTGATGCACAGAACTAGTAAGAAACAGCACAAAACAATTTATAAGTTGATGGAATATTATATGGCCATTATACTTACATTTTCAAATATGTAAGTGAAATTACAGAATATTAACAATATAATATCAAATGAAAACATTACTAATCATAAAAAAGTAGACTAGCATGATCTATGATGTGTGTTTGCATCTGTGTGTACATAGAACGTATACATACATGATAAAAACATGTTAATGAGCTGCAATTTTGATATTTTTCTGTGCACTTTAAAAAATAATTTCCAAGTGTTCTATAAAGAACACACGTTATTACCATAATCAGAAAAAAACTAAAAGGAAACATACACCTAGAGTAGGCATCATTATTTTAGTAGTGCTTACTCTTATGTAACTGAACTACTGAAGAGTATTTTGCTGTTGACAACTGTCCCAAAAGTAGTATGAACTTGGAAACCCCTTAACTACTGACTTCCTGGGTCTCAACTTCCTCATGCATAAAGTGAGAAAAATCACAGTAACTCTAGACAGGCTTAACTGGGTACATATAAAGCACACTAAAATACTGCAGTATTTAGATGGATTGCCAGGAACTTCTCAATGTTATTTATATTTGCTTTGCTATTTATGGAACTGGCAGCATATCCCCTTTCACAATAATGGGGATAGCTACCATCTGTTGGATACATAAGACATAGCTATGTGGCCAACACTTTGCCTATGTTATCTTATTTAATCTTCCCAACAGCTCAGAGGGGGATTTTTATCCATATTTTCCTCCTGGCGAAATGGCACACAGAAGGGTCAAGTGATTTGGCCAAGGTTACACAGATAATAAGTCACAGAGAAAGGGTTTTATCCCAGGCCTGTCAGACTCAAAATTTCACTTTCTTTCTTCTATAACATATGCTTTATGCCTAGCAAGAGATACTCCTCCTGACACAAACATTCAAAGGGTAAGGTTGCCAAAAGATTAGCTTCCTTTCAACAACTTGTCCATGGGAGAATGACAAAGAAAGATTAATACCACATGAGTGAGGTAAGGGTTTATAATTTGTCAAGTACCTGCTCTGAAAGGTCCTAAAGAAACTTATTGTCTTGTTGAAGAGCTTATTCATATGTAATGAAAAACTACTGTGTTCTGGATATCTTCCAGACCTTGCAAATGCCTCCAAAATTTAAATCATCTCTCCTCCCTAGCTGACCTACTTTCCTCTGTACCTCTAATGGCAGCACCATTATTCATGGAGTCAGGCGAGACCCCTTCCTTTCCTCTGAATGTTGACATCAAGTCAGAAAAGGGTTGTGTGATGTGTATCTTGAATAGATCACCTTCTTCCTATGTTCATCATCTCCACATCAGAGTAAGCCCTTATCCTTTCTTGTCCTACAAACACTGATGGCAAACTGCTCTTTCAGAGATGAGTACCAAGATGCAGCCACAAACCCACTTATCTCAGAGTGCCAACACTGCGATTAAACCCGAATACTGAGGTTTTAATTTAGAAAGAACACCTCACACATTAACATCTTTTGTCTTAAAAGAAAAAAAATAACACACATGCCATGGGCTTGCCATCACTATGCGTAAGTACAGTGCATTCTTAGTCTTCTTATCTCTAAAATCTCCTCTAAAATGTCTCTGATATTGTTATCAAAGTAAGTGTCTCCCATACTTCTAACAAACAGATTTGAAAATGTTACTTCCTTGATTAAAAATCTCCTCTATCTTCCCACCTTTCAGAAGGTAGGTTCTTGCTTGTGACTCTTCACACTGAAGCTTTAACCTTGCTTGCAGCCTCATTTTGTATTTTCTAGGGTCATTGCCTACCTTGCCACTGTATCCAACTATCTGAAATTCTTCAAATGTATGGTTTCCAAAACATTATTTATATTGTATATTTTCTATGCCCATAAAAACTACGTGAATTGAGAAGTATAGGAAGAGTGCTAATGCTGATCATGTCACAGTGCAGCTATTTTTAAGTGTGCATGTTTTAACTGAAACATAAGTCTCTGTTCCTTCAAGGTTGTCTTCTGAACTCTGTGTACTAGAAACTTGTGTTAATATTGGATGCTACTTTACAAAGAAAGTTAATTTGGTAAATCCATTGACTAAAAAAAAAAACAAAACAATGTTATAGACAATTGAAATGAGGAAGTAGGAGATCTTGCATGGATAAATAAAATGGGAAGCACAAGTATGGAACAGATTATACAATCAAGAATGCTGCATTTGGGTTTTAACTGTATTGCAGGTCTTCTTGATATTTTAAAGGCATTACTGATTTCAAATCAATGTGTCAGCTTCAGTGGTCGATGTTAATTAACACAGCATTTTTTAAATGTGTACATTTTATTCCCTTCCCAGGCTACCCAGGAAATACTCTTTATGCCATTAATACTCTTTATGCCAGGAATATATGGATTACTCCTAGAAGGCCTGGACCCTCCCTGTCTTTAGGCGTTGTTTTCCTTTATTGAAGGGTTGACCAGCATAAAATTATTTCACCCATTCAGCAAGCTTCTGTTAGTAAGAAGTGTAAGTCACGAAGGACATGATGCATACTGCCACTACTTCTTTTTCAGCTTCCCCCAGTGGCATTCTAAACTTAGGCAACTAAGTAAGAATTAGGCTTTGGGGCTTTGGATTCTAATCAGATTTGACTCCTTGAGCTAATATTTCTTTTCTTTTCTTTTTTACCCTCTGGGTCTAATTTCTCTGTGTTCACAACATATGCAAACATGTTTCTCATTAGTGTTTATTTACTACCACAGGAATCACTTTGAAACCTCCTGATCCTAATGGAAATGATTTTCTCAAAATAAACCCAGATCATATTGGATTTTATCGTGTAAATTATGAAGTACCAACTTGGGAACAGATAGCTTCTGATCTTGTGTCAAACCACATGGTAAGAGACAGCAATGGCTATGAATTGTTTTGCTTCTGTTCTAGGAACATTTTAATGGTACTAATTTTTGAAACACTTTGAGAATCACGTTTTAATCTCCTTCCCCCCGCTCTTTCCAGGACTTTTCTTCTGCTGACCGTGCAAGTCTTATTGATGACGCTTTTGCCTTGGCAAAGTAAGTTTTGTAATAATGTTAGATCACTTAAAATGCCATGGGTCTTAACATAATTTTTTGAATAAGTTACAACAATATTTAAGTGTTAATCAATTTAGTCTAAAATGCCAAAGATTTTAAACATTATTTTTCTTGACCCTTTTTAAATGTGCATATGAAGGGGCTGGAGATTTAGCTCAGCGGCAAAAGCGCCTGCCTGGCAAGTGCAAGGTCAGGAGTTTGGTTCCTGGTACTGGAGAAAAACCAAAAAATAAAAAAAAATAAAAAAAAAATAAATGTGCGTATGAGCCACACATCCAAAACACTGGTATTTTTTGGTATTTTAAACAATACCAAAGATTTTAAAACCAGGATTTTAAACATTATTTTTCTTGACCCTTTTTAAATGTACGTATGAGCCACACATCCAAAACACTGAGATTAGCTCTTAACATATAAAAACTTACCTACTCTATTGGCTTTGAATGTGGTTTGTTCTATATCAGAGTCCTGGAGCTGTTAGGAGTGATATTCGTATGTGCTCAAAGGCGAATTTCAAAATTTGATTTAATGAAATGACAAACAATGTGTTTCACTAGTTTGGTGAGCCCAAGCTCAGTGTAAAATTTTAATGCTAGAATTGTTAGAACTTCTTCCAGTGTCAGGCCAGGAAGAACGAGCCATGGTGCTCTACAGTTGACTTGAGTTAAGGTATCAACTGCTAAGGAATCTGACTTTTTCCTACATGACGTGTCTGAAGGAGGCCGGCACTTCTGCACTTGGATAATCAGCATAGGTTGAGGGGGGGTGGAAGAGTAGTAACCATGGTACCTCTACATGCGTTTCAGGTAGTCAGCATTAGTAATTCAACAAGTTTTTGGGACACTGCAGGAACTGGTGGCACAGCTGATTTTATTTCTCTGCGTTTGTTGTGGCCTCATTCTAAACCTGAGCAAGATGCTGATAAAGAGATGTCACTTGCTTCAGTAGCCTCCCTTGGCTCATTATTGGGGGTGGGTGCTCCTCATATGGGCCATCTTTCCTCTAAGTATTACACTGGCACTGCTAGTTCACTGTAACCTGTGAAAGTGAGTCTTGGGAGGTAAACTCCTAAGCCTGCTCATGGCTGCCGGCTGCCCCATAGAAGGTGCTCGGTAAGTATGAACTAAACAGATGGCATCTGGGGCAGCCGGACAGCAAGGAAGGCATGGGAGAATCTTCACATGGACTTCTTGATGGCATATTGGAATTCAGAAAACCTTTTGGACATTTTTTAAGCAAATAATTTCAGGATTTAAAAGCAAGCTCTGGAGCCTGATGGAAATCCTGGTACCATATAAATTCTTAACCTCAGTTTTCTTGTTAGTAAAAATAGGGATGACTTTATAAGACACATGTGTGATATAAATAATAGACATAAAACACCCCAAAAATATTCTGTTTTGTAGAGGACGCTCAATAACAAATAATAGGAATTGTATTACTCATTTTTAGCACTCTGGGAGACTGAGGCAGGATAATCAAAGTTCAAGCCCAGCATGGGCAACTTACCAACTTGGCAAAATGCCCAATCAGTCAGTCAATCAGGTGGGAGGGGCTGGGGCTGAAACTCACTGTAAATCACCTGGGTTGCGTCGCTAGTCCTGGCAAAATAAACCCATACATGTATTTAATGTGTTTATGCAAATATATATGTATATTACTTGACAAAATGCATCCAACATTGATTACTAGCAGCAAAGATGCATTTAGAACAACTCTGAGTTTGTAATCTAGGTTCCCTTCATAGGTGGTATACACTATGTATGATGCTTTTTAGTGAATCTTCAAATTTAGACTTCACATTTAATCTCCCAGATATGTAATAGATTATTTGCATCACATTCCTTGTGCCAATAGCTCATTTAATAAATATGTTTTAAGCACCTACTGTGTACTAGACACTGCGTGCATCCTGGGAAATTAAGTGGTAAAAGAAGATGATCAATAAATATTTTAAATCACATCAAAATCACTTAGAATAAGAAAACTACTTAGAATTTTTTTCCAAGAAGCTCTCTAGATACATCACACACCTTGACCCTTTCCAAGCCCAACTTCTTGGCTGTTAAATTGGCTATAGTTAATTTCCATCATAAGACAGCCCAGAAGAGTTTGCTTTCTTTCTCTTTCAGGAACTGGATATCAAGCAAATAGGTCACAGTACTGGAAGACTTTCTTACATTTTTTCAACTCCTTGACCAGAACCTCATAAGACTGTTAAGGGTTATAGAAAGGATGAAAGTGAAACAAATTTGAAAACCCCAAACATACATAGGATCATTCAACAGAGCTGGAAATACCTGAGCTATCACCTGGCCCAGTTTCCTACTGTAACATGTGAGGAAAATGGGATTCAGAGAGTAATAGATGCCATCAGGGCTGGTGAGGGCTCGGACTGGCCACTCAGAAACTGGAGCAGGTAAAGGCAGGAACGTGTGTGTGCAGCAGACAAGTGCCTGTGGTAAGGACTGAATTCACATAGGTCTATTGAGGTGTTCAAAAAGAAATGAAAGTATTACACATCTGAAAATAAATGTATTCTTCATTGCTCTTCAAACAGTCTGAAGAGCTAATACTATTTTACTGCCCTGGTGGAATGTCTAGATGGGCCCATGACTTGGTCAAGAGAAGGAATGAAAATTCACCCCATCACTTCTAGTCTACCAAACCTTCTTAGTCCTGTAATATGCCCAGTCAAGTAAAATCAGTGAAGCTTCTGACATCAAGCAAAGCTCCCATTAGTCCCCCATTCAGGCCTGCCACCCACAGTGAGAAAGGGGCTTGACTCACTCTTCCTTTCCCTGTTCAGAATTCCCCCATCATCCCACCTACCATGTGCCTCTGGTTCCTCCAATGTTAAGGTGAAAAGAGCAAGGAGGGAGCATCGGAGAAAGGATGGATGGTCCTGACATGCTGCGGGCATTTGTCTACCTTCAGTCTCCTCTGAACTTTGTACATCTTTCTTGCTGGCTCTTCTCATGGGAGGTTTTCACGTGGTTTTTTCCACCCACACTCATCCCATCACTGAGAATCTTTCCTGCATGTTTCCCTTGAAGAAGATAAGGGGAAATCTCTGACCTACCCTGCTCTATAGGAAGTATTTATGTATCCTTTGCCCTCACAATGTTTGGAGGAGCTGGTCACCCCACACGGTGCCATCTCTTCACTCTGAGGCACCAGGCAAACAATGTCATCCTTTAGATTCTCAGAGTATCAGACACCAGGCCATAGTGCCCTCAGGCTCCAGGATCACAGAAGCAGCCTCTTCCAGTGGTTTCACTGAACCTTCTCTGCTCTGGCTTGGTGTGAGGGAAGGGCATCCTGTACCCCTCCTCCTTGGGGAAAGCATTTGCCCCATGCTGTCTGGAGAATCCACAAACCATTGTGCTATGTTTCACTCTTGCCCCAGCCTCCCCACCCTCCTGTACAGGATGTTGGTGGTTTATTAGCTGAGGGGCAAAAAGCTCTGTCCTTGACTCTGCTAGTCTTACTGTGGTCTTTTTTTTTTTTTTTTTTCCGGTACCGGGAATCAAAATCATGACCTCCCGCTTGCCAGGCAGGCACTGTGCCACTGAGCTAAATCCCCAGCCCCTTATTGTGGTCTTGCATCTTAGCTTACAGCAAGGATCTTGGTTTTGGGGTCTTTCCCAAACTTAAGCAGAAGCCTTTCTTCCCACTTGTTATGATAGTTTTATTTTGCTTTTCTTTCTATTTGTGCTTTGTAGACTACTGTTTGCTGTAGCCAGAAAAAAGACGGGTAAGCCTGTGAGTGGGGACAGGAACCAGTAGATGAAGGGAAAATGACAGAGAAGATGACATAGAAGACCATTTAAGCTAGTGATCCAAGCAGAATTGCACCTAGGTTTCTAAGAACAATATCTCCAAGGATATCCATGAGGGCCGTGCTAGCACATAAGGACCACCAGGTGAATGTTAGCCATCAAGCAAGAGTCTGGACCCCTACCCTGGTGTAACATTTGTATAGGTATTTGAAGAGGTGGGGACAGGACACCATAGAACTTCCAAAGCAACTCTGGGCACCCCTTTATGGACTGCCCTTAAAGGAAAGAAGGAAAACAGGAAATGAGTCCTAGGAAATTTAGCTGATTGCAATGACACTGTTTTAATGCAGAAATCCAAATTTAATTGGCAAGTTAATCAGCTAGGAACTTTTCATTGTTCTCCACATCACATAGAAGCTCTGCAGACAAACTGATGAGTGTGTGGGTTACTTCCACACATCCACACACCTCTCCAGTTTACTGGCCTACTACAGGGCCCTGCTTGATGAGATAGTATTTTTAGCTCAGGGTCCTCTAAGAAGGATTGTATAGTCTTTTCAAATTATGCCCAAGAAAATAAAATGTAAAGCATTTGCTACCAGTCCCCTAACTTTCCTAATTGCCTTAGCTCAAGATAGGAAAACAAGGAAGCCCTTTATCCCTTCTCCATTGCCTTTGTAAAGAACTTTGTCCCAGCTCCCATCCTCTCTGTGCTGTGGATTGGAGTTCAGTTCCCGTGAATAATCTTGCCACAACATTGGCACTCAGCATCTGAGTGGAAGAGGTTTGAATTGACAACATTTCCAGCCAAGTCTGGCCTTCACAACTACTGTTTGTCTATGAACTTAACAGGTGGGCCAAATGTTGGGTAAGAATGGTGTTCTGAATTGAGTCTCCTAGAAGCAGAGGTGGGAATGGAGATTCTTCAAGTGGCTTTTGGAGTGTGTTCTCTTATGATCTAGGGAACAAGAGAAGCAGACTAAGCCAGGGAAAATGTGATCTCATCTGAAATCCAACTTTGCCACATCCCACTAGGAAGTTATGGATTGAACCAGATTGTGGGCCCAGCTCATAGGAGGCTTGTTGGCCTCTGTATTTCTAAATCAGGCAGTAAGTAGGCAGGGGAGGTATTGGGTAATCTCCTGGGTGAGATGATGTAACTTGTCCCAGGGATATTCTGTGGAGAAGGTAGAAGACCTGAGAGATATGGACTCTGAGGGAATCTGGGACAGACACTGGTAGATGTCTTTGTCCCACTAACAGTATCAGCACTGCCTAGGAATTCGTGAGAAATGAATACTATTGGGCCCTACTGGGAAACTACTGAATCAGAAGCTCTGGGGCTGGATGTATGTACCCAACCTTCCTGATATTGCTGTTGTGTGCTCCAATATGAGAATTGTGATTCTCATTGATATTGCTTTTCCGATATACCATGTACCATTGATCCAAGAGCTGCAGAGGGAAGGAAAAGTCCATCAGCTTCATTCTCAAAATATTATCCCAATGCTGTCAGCCAATGACAATGCACTTCTAGTCCAATGTCCTGACCCTGTGACACTTTAAGAGAATAATTGATACTAAAGTGGAACAACTATGTAGCTACCAAGTGTACTGGAAAAAATAAGGCACTGGAATAGGATATTGAGTTTTCAAGCATTCCAATATGTAGTATGTAGTTCAGACCTTTGATCACTGGTTTCTTCCTTACTTCTAGTTATGCTACACAATTAGCTAATTTTTTTGTCTCTTGTAACCAAGGCCCATTCTTCTGAATGTTTTCACTTTCATGAAATGTGCAGTCATCCCACTTGGCTTCTAACCAAAGCATCTATTGTTCTTTTTAGAGTTTCCTTAACCTGTTCACTAACTTAATACTCCATTATAAATACTCCTTATAAATTTTCTAAGAAAATACTGATTGAACATACATGTTGCTGTGTCAACCTAGGAAAGTAGAGAAATGTTAAAGTTAGAGAATTGTCCATTAAGTTATAAATCTCAAAATTCTACAATATTTTACTGAACAAACATTCTCAAAAATTATTTCATTTCATGAAATTATTTGTACTTATATTAAGGGAGACTAAATAAATGCTCCAGAAGGAAAATCCTTCCAAATATGAGAAGAAACTGAGAAAATATGAAGAGAAGTCAATTTCCTAAGCTGAAGACAAACTCTGTGTTATATCTCTTCTGTCAAAGTTTTTATTCCTTATTATCTGTTGAGCACTAGTTCATGCTCTAAACCAACTCCTGGAGAAGAAAGCAAGATATAATTGCATTATTTTTCAGTTTAAAATGACCTCAAATGTAACAGTACTCAATGCATGAACATTCTTATATTCAATACTTTTTAAAATTAATCTTTAAACTTTCAAACTGTACTTTAGGAAGCCAGGATTTCTAATATTCTCCCCAAAGGCTAGGCTAAAACTGGAAGTACAACAAGTTCCTGAAAACACAATTTCTGAATGGTTCCAAACTTCCTTTAGAGGGAGGAGAAGTTGGATTCTTTAAATTTTTAAATATCAATAGTATCTTCAAATTTTCTGAAAGAGAAAAACCCATTTCTATTTATGAAGCTTACTGGGAAATGTAAGAAAAGCGATGGTACACAGGAAAATGTGAGTTTAATTTTAATATGTTTCTTCTTCATATGCAAATAGAAATGATTTTGGCAAAATACATTTGTAATAGTGCTTTTGTGTTTTATAATCAGTTTGTGAGCTTATCATTTAAAAGCTTCTATTCATCAGTATTAACCAGGCAATAAAATGACTTTTATTTCATCTGAATTTTTGCTACAGTCAATTTTCAAATGTGCATCTTTATATTGCTTCCCTCATTTCTATTAAGTGTATGAATATATGATTTCACATTGTACAAATAAGTCATTTGGAACAAAACTTTTTGATTGGGCTTTGTTATGGTTTGTGTCTCTACATCCCCCTAAAGCTTCATGCAATCATAGGTGGGGCTTTTACAAGGTGGCTGGATCTGGAATGTGTGATTGATTCATTGTGCAACGCTAGGATCAAGGGCACTAGGATTAAGGGTGGATTAAGGGTACTAGGATTAAGAGCGTTACCTGCACTGAGTAGCCTGGATAAGATATAAAGAATAGAAAGAGCTGTGGTCATTCCCTTCCTTACTTGCTTTTGCTGTCTTCTGTGTGCAATGAATTCTTTCTCCTCTGCCATGCCACCCTGCCTTGGAGCCGGCCAACTATTACCTGAAACCTTTATGAACTGTAAGTCAAATAAACTTTTCCTCCTTTAACTTTGAGTGCCAGCTATTTTGTCTCAGCAACAAGTAACTAAGACAGGTCTCAAGAATAAGTGCAATTTCTTAACTGTTTAATAGAAGAATTATCATTAAAATTGAATGTTAGGATCCTGAGTTAGTACTTTTACTCAAGTGGAAACTACTGTCTATGTTTTTGTTTGTTTTGTTTTGTTTTGTTGAAACAGAGCCTCCCTATATAGTCCTGGCTGGTCTTGAACTCACTGTGTAGTCTAGGCTGGTCTTGAACTCACTGTGTAGTCCAGGCCAGTCTTAAACTCATGGTGATCCTCCTGTCTCAGCCTCTCATGTGCTGGGATTATAGGCACCACCACCCTGGCCCCCCTTTGTGGTTTTTAATTAATTGCATTTTTCCTTTCTTAGAGCTCAGCTTCTAAATTATAGGGAGGCTCTGAATTTGACCAAGTATCTCAAGGAGGAACGGGGTTATCTACCATGGCAGAGAGCCATCTCAGCTGTAACCTACATCATTAGCATGTTTGAAGATGACCAGGAGCTGTATCCGCTGATCGAGGTGATGTGTAATGCTGTGGTATATTATGACAGAAGATGTTTACCCATTAGTAGAATAGAATGTTTCTGAGAGGAAGGGCTCCTGGGGGATACTAGCCATTTCTACCTACTGAGTGCAATGACATGACTAATCAAAGCAGAGAGGCCATCTACTCTCATCTTGAAGTATAACAGTATTTGTGGTTCAGTGTACTGTATAAATGTGCATTTTAGTATTGGAAGGAATGCAGCTATTAATATTTTATTGAAAATTTAAAACATTTTAAAATCATAAATACTATGATTAGCTATAAATAAATACTATACATAAATACTAGCTATACATAAATACTAACTATGATTTTAGCTTATCTCTGTTAAAATAAATTTATTCTTGTCAAAATATAGCATTATATTTCCTCACTGTTACTGCTATTATGTCTACCTTGGGATTTTATCTATAAGATAGTCTTTCTAAGTAGTTTTGGTTTTTTGCTGATTTCTACAGTGTTTTTAAACATCTATGATTTTAAACAAAATCTGGATTCAAGTTCTTAACTTTTAATTACTAAATGAAAGACCTTGGAACAGTGACTTTATATTTGTGGGTGTTATTTCCTTTGAACAGGGAGAACATTACTACTTGCCTGCCTAGGACAATGAGAATCAAATGATGTAAAAGTACCTTTTGAACTGTCAATATCTATCATTTGTATTACTTTATCAGTACTGGAACAATCTTCTTATTTCCAGACATATGTTGGTATTTTCATCCTTGTTATATATGCTAACTAAGAAATGGTTATTAAAGGAGCTGACCCAACGTATTGTAAAACATTAGTGAAAAATTCAGGGTGACTCCTACCTTCAGGATTGAAACAAAATTGCATTGTGATAAAAACTGAATACATTCCTGTCTAACTCAGGCCCAAAGTTCTCTAAGGTAGTAGAAAAAAGATTACTGTGGAGGGGCTGCAGATTATGAAGACTGTTGATAAGCAGTAAATTATGACTCATGGTACATGGTGTTTTTATTTCAGGAATACTTCCAAAGTCAAGTGAAGCCCATTGCAGATTCTCTAGGATGGACAGATACCGGTGACCACCTCACAAAGTATTTTTCACCTTTTTAAGACTAACATTCATTTAACTTTTGTTAGTATATTTTAAGACATGTAGAAAAATGCTTAAGACTCTGGCTCTGTGCTTGTTTGCTTTTTAAAGGTTACTCCGTGCCGCTGTGTTAAGCTTTGCCTGCAAGATGGGTGATAAGGAAGCCTTGAACAATGCTTCCTCGTATTTTGAAGACTGGGTAGCTGGGAAGATAAGGTGACTATTCACTTTTTATCATTTATAGCAGACTTAAAACAGAAATAAATAAATGAAATCTCTGAAACATTGTATCCTCTTCCAGCATTCCGGTAAATCTCAGGCTTCTGGTTTATCGGTATGGCATACAGAACTCTGGCAATGAGACATCATGGAACTATACCCTAGAACAATACCAGAGTACTTCATTAGCTCAAGAAAAAGAAAAACTGCTTTATGGATTAGCATCAGTGAAGAGTGTTCCTCTTTTGGCAAGGTAATTTGGTGTATGTTTTATTTGCTAGTTTTTGGCTTTTTGGCCTTGGGAATTGACCCCACGGCTTTAAACATGCTGGTCAAGTGTTCAACCACTTTGATACACTCCCAGCCTATGTTGAGTTTTATCTCACTGATATGAATTATACTTAATAGTTTATATGTCACAATGTTTTTAAAAGTTGGATTAATAAAATATGATGTCATTTCCAAAATATTCATTAAGAATAATTTTTCCTATAAGAAACAAAATATCTGTTACAAGATTGGCCTAAAGAATAAAGAAATATAATCCCATGTGGAAATATTCTGGAGGTAGTAGTTTCCAGTTATGTCCAATGGATCAACATTTTCATCCAAGACCTGGGCTATGTCACTTTCTGTTCTTCCATGCTCAATGTATTGGATGTTTCCTTGCTTCCAGACCTCCAAACATTTTGTCTTCACACAAAGATGTCCAATGGAGAAAGAACAGAAGCAAAAGAATTTCTTGCGTGTTTTGTCCTTTATGCTGAGAGGACAAGTACCTTCTCTCTACATATAATCTAGAGCTGAGTCATACGTGATCATTCCAGGTCAAATTATAGGTCTACCATTTGAGCTTTTGCTGACTAAGATAAACTTGAATCCTTTTGACTGCTTTGGGCCAGGTATGATTCTCTGGGGCTGAGGTATGAGCTTACTTCCCCCTAGAACCCGGGATAGCTAATGACCCTAGAAGAATACTGAGCTCTGTCTTCAAAAAAAGAGGTGTGTCTGCTATCCAAGCATATACATATGCACACACATTTACATTCTACAGAGACTGTTGGATGCTCATCTATAAATCTCTTCCCACTCTATACCTATGCCCCAAATTAACTAGCTTCTGTAACTGAGCTATTTACTTCATTTAACCAACACTTAGGATGTCCCTTTATATATATATATATATATATATATGGCAGAAAGTGATTAAAACATGATATCTGTCCTTGAGAAACTTATAACATCATGAGAGGCAGAATGTAAATATTAAATTACAGTACCAATTTGAAAGACTACCAGAAATAGTTTGCTTCTGTAGCAACAGTACACCTTCCTCTCTTAACTCAGGGCTATAGCCATTCTGCTTGTTCTCACAAAATAGTCGATCAAGAACTTAATCATCTTAACATCACCAGGTATTTTATTAATATGTACAATTTTATGTGTTTATGTGTATATCAATTAAAATTAATTTATATTAAAAGAATTGGATTATCTTCACACCTATTTAAACATTACACTAATCCAATAGTTTATAGCACTGCATTATTTGTATCTGGTAGGGAAATTAGGAGGTACTTTTGATGCTTTAGTATGGATCTTGCAGGCTAGAGAACAGGAGATAGAATTCACAAAAATACTGATTCCCACAACTTCAGTGCAGTTTCTGGAAGCTCTGAAAAAGCACCTACAAGATGAAAGGCAAACTTTTTTGAAGATAACAATATGTAATATAACAACCACTGTTAATCCCTATCATTTGGTTTGAAACCCTGTATCATTTTTAATGTCCTTGCTTTATTTTGTTTGTATTTCGCTATTGTTCTTTCTTTTTTTTATTACTACTCTCTTTAAAATAAAAATAAGATGAAAGGTAAATTGTTTGCCTTGCGTTAAGTACCACACAAAATTTATTTTAACAGGTATAGTAAGCTTTTCTAAGACTTTGAGGCAGTATATCCACATTTGAGTGTGTTACTTCAACCAGTTATAAAACTTTCAATTTCGAGTCATGTCAGAGCAAAAGAAAGCTCTGCAGTAAGCCCAGGCTGCAGTAAAAGCTTCCCTAGCATTCCTTTTTAATCTGAAACATATGATAAATATGCAGAGTTTCATATCAGTGTAGGTTTACTTGCTCAAATACAAGTATAAAAAAGGTAGTATGTATACTTCCTATGTTTTAGTCCCAAGAGTCCCCACGTTGTTGGGTGATGAGCCAGCAAAATGGAGAACAACTGATATGATCTTTGTCTTGCAGTCTTTAAATTGAAAAACTTCCAGTTTTTAAATCAGTTGTTAAATTAGAAATCTAGTTTAAATAGTCCAGTCTTCTAGAGTCCTTTCCCACCCTACAATTCTCCTATATAGGGAAACATAAGTCACCTTGTAGTGATGGAAAAAGAAACTTGTATCCTTACTGGTGTTGCCTTCAGGTACTTAACTACTTTTGTCCTGGACCACATTCCACTGGGTTTTGTTGTTCATATTTTACCTGCTGGAACAGTATGTGGCAGAGATGAAAGTTGTGGTCCTCGTCATTTTCTCTTCATCATGAAAGGCCTCTGCTGCTGGGCATGGTTGTCTTCTCAAAAGCCTTTTAGCACCCTACATTGTATTACTAGATGGAACAACCATCTAGGTCCCCAAAGGAACCAAGAGTCTTACCTTACATCCATTAATATCTTCATCTCATCTTGCTCACACTCTACTGCCTGTCTCCCGCACCATGATGGGTATAGCACATAAGTGGACACTGGAGAGAGGGCTTTTCTCTCAGACCAGATGGAATGGTGTTCTCAGTATCTAGTGTGGTCTTTCCTTCAAGCTTGAGCTCTTCCAGTCTTTCGTGGGATAAATTTCTATGGTGAAGTACACTAACCTGGTTCTTGATGTATTAATGAAACAAGAGAAATGTGGAAGGATCTTCTATCTTTCGTGAAGGTTGACTTTCAGAACTATCTCATAAGTCATGTTGAACAGTGGTCTTTTTGTTGTAATTATCATATCCCACCTCCCTAAGGGTATGAAAGATCCAAGCAAGTGGGTAGGAAGTTACAAGATTAGAGTATGAAAATATATCTGATGGGGGCTGGGGATTTAGCTCAGTGGCAAAGTGCCTGCCTGGCAAGTGCAAGGTCATGAGTTCAATTCCTGGTACCAGAAGAAAAGACAAAAGAAAAAAAAGAAAATATATCATCAGATATATTTTGAGTTACTATTCTCATAGCAAATAATTTACCCATATTATTTGGGAACTTTTTTTCTTTTTCTTTTTTGGTAGCGAGGATCGAACTCAGAACCTTGTACTTGCCAGGCAGGCACTTGTGCCAATGAGTTAAATCCCTGGCCCTTGGGAACATTTTTCTAATGACAGTATGCACTTCTTTATGGTCATGGGCTAGAAATGCAACTCTTGATACAATGAGGATACAAATTTAATAGAAATTATCCATTTAGTTGCTTAATTTATATGGGATCTATTTGCATTATGCTATAGTCATAGTCAACTAATTAACCACAAAGATTATATTAGGTTGTTTTTTACAGTGTAGGGAAGAGCAAATGAAGTTTAAGTGTTATACTATAGCAAATAAGAGTACAACTATTCTTCCTTAATTTTTAGTTTTTTTGTTTTGTTTTGTTTTGTCTTTTTGAGACAGGGTCTCGATATGCAGTTCAGGTTGGACTTGAGCTCACTTTGTAGCCCAGGCTGGCCTCGAACTTGCAACGATCCTCCTGCCTCAGCCTCCCGAGTGCTGGGATTATAGGTGTGTGCTGCCACACCCGGCTTCAATTGTTTTTTTAAAAATCCAGTAGGGTGATAGATAAATGAATAAAGTGCTCCTATTTAAAAAGCCCTATTTAAGGGGCTGGGGATTTAGCTCAGCAGCACAGCGCCTGCCTGGCAAGCTCGAGGTCATGAGTTCAATTCCTGATAGTGGGAAAAAAAGAAAAAAAAAGAAAAAGCCCTATTTAAAAAATTAATCATTAAAATTCAATATTTCTGAAATGTTTTATTGTTCCTATAGTTTATACTTTACCAGTCCTTAATGTCATAGGTTATTTTTAGAGACATTTATATATATAACATTTTAAATCATCTTTCATCATTTGTCACAGTTAATTCACTTTGTCATTTTATGCCTGAAGAATTAAACTGCTGGAATGCAAGCTATGTTGGATTGGAATTTAGCTAATGGTGAACATTTAAAGTTAATTTTGAGTTGCTTTTCTGTTTTCCTCCTCTTAGGTATCTGGATTTGCTCAAGGACCCAAACGTTATTAAAAGTCAGGATGTGTTTACAGTCATCCGATACATCTCATATAACAGTTATGGGAAGACAATGGCCTGGAATTGGATACAGCTCAACTGGGACTATCTGGTCAACAGGTGGGAGGAGAAGATAATGCTCTATTGTTTCTGTGTTTGAGGTCATCTGCCAGCTCCTTCTTTTTCTCTTTGGTGTACTTTCTCTGACATTACACAATATCTGAAATGGGGTATTATCAGAGGTAAAGAATCATGATATTTTCCTGCCAAGGAAGCATATACTAGTTAATTTTAGGCACAGTTGTTTTTCTAGAAATTATTGTTTCCAAGTGAACTAAAGGATTCTGACAGCCAGAGAGATGACTAAGTTGCATTTTGGGGGGTTTCAGTAAAATAAATGAATATAATTTTGGCTCCTACTGTGGTAGTACCTAGAATAATGACAGGCACATATGTAGTTCTCAATTGATGTTTGATAAAAACTAAAAGAGAATTCTTGGATTTGGGCTCAAATTGGAGTCTTATACCTTACTGAGTTTATATGGGTGGTAACAGTGTTTCTGATCAGATGCTTAAACTATTAAGTGTTCTGAATGGTTCTTGAAAGGGAACTATATTCTGTAAGCAACAGCAGTACTGGGTATTCTGTTTTGTTTTGTTTTGTTTTTGGTGCTGGTTGTTGAGTCTAAGGCCCTGCCCTTGCAAAGTGTGCACTTTAGCACCAAGCTACATCCCAAGTCTGGCAATTGCAGTTTTACAATAGGAAATAGGACAAAAGAAGAAAAAAAAATCAACAAAAAGATGCTTTTCCAAATTTATTTTCCTTGAAAAAAATTCAGTTTATTAGGTCTCATTCATCTTTTAAAGTCCGGATATTTATACCTCTGAGGAAAGGTAAAATCTACTTTTTTTTACTTTTTAATTTTTTAAAGTATAATAATGAATTCATTTTTAGTGATAAAAATTGTATTATTTTAAATAAATCATATTGATCCCATTGAAACAGGTCTTGAAAATACTATATTTAATAAGCAAAAAGTGATACTTATTTTGCAAAATAAAACATTATTTATTTTTCCACAATAATTCAAAAGTAAATATTGTGCTTATTTACATATACCAAAAAGAAAAACCTTTGTGATATTTCAACTAAAACAAAACACCTACTCATTGGGCATATGTATTTCAAAATAGGTTTGTTCATTCTAAACCAAGTATTCTATGGAAATAATTAGAAACAGATTAACAGTGCAAGTGTATATGGTATACTGACCAATGTCAGAGATGAATAAATAGTCACACTAGCTAGTCACAAGAACAGAAAACAGAAAAATCTATCATAAGCAGGCAAAAACAGTGTAGAATATTTTGTTTGACAGTTAGAGGTATAATGTAGATTTCAGAAGGAAACAAAATAGCATGGTGAATTGTAGGATAGAACAGAGAAAAGACATGAAAGTTATTGCTCTAATTAGTATTTTCATCAAGATAGTCATTATCAGCAAAGCTATACTTTGGGATGGATGGGGAGATTAGGAAAGGATAACAGAAAACATTTCCTAATGTGAGGCTGACAGACAGTACAGATCTTTTTCCCAATGTTTACACATTTATTTGGGACAGGTATTTATTCTATTTTCTATTTTCTACTCTGTCAAAGAAAGGTCTTTTTAATGGTAATTGAACTAATGTTTAGAGGACGAGATTTAGAGGACATTTAGAGGACAAGAACCCAAAGTAGCAATATTTCTTCTGCATGGAGTCAAAGAAATAAGAAATTTGGAAAAATATCTTTTTATTGAAACTATGAAACTGAAAGAACCCAGTAAGTCAATAGTGTGGTGTATTAAAGTTTGATTTTGGTTTATGACTATAGATGAAAAATGAAGTCAGTAGTTTTGACTTAATGAACATGACTGAAGCAATTTAAACACTAGGTCATAAAAAAATTTAATAAGCACTTAACTAAAGTTTTTGTGTGCACCCAAATAATTTATTTTGCATAACATACTAATACATAAATATTAAGTACAAGAAGATAATTTTTATATAATTTTTCAAATTATTTAAGTTAAATAAATCATTATTTTAGTTTTTAAAATAACCAGTATGATAAATGCACAGCAAAGCCCTTTATTTTCTACACTTCGTATATTTGTCTCTCAGGATGAATGTGTTCTTTTATCATTTCTAGTACTTATACAGGCAGTTGCAGTTTTTCTTCAACCTACTCAATGCTAGTTTCCAAGCAGCTCATGTAATTTTTGTCACTAACAATAAAGCAGAGAGAAATATTTTTAAAATTTTTATTAGTATACGTTTGTGCTATATAATTATTACATCCATTGTGGGGAATTGGTACATGCATGTAACACATCTCAATTCCTTAAAATTATTTTCTCAATTCCTTTTTAGCAGAGAAAAATATTATAGAAATTATAAATTATAGAAGGTCATTAAAAGTTGCATTACATCTTCTTGCAGCAATTTAATGTACTTTTCCTTTTAAAATTTCTACATTTTTATACTAAACTATGTTCTTTCTTGCACAAAACACAGATAAGAAATAATAGAAATAATTACCACAATGCACCCATCTAGAAAGAACTTCTATTTTCCCTGTTTTTCCTCAAGTCATGGTTAATTTATGTATTTTCACAGAAATAGAATATGCATATGGTTTTATAATTTGCCTTGTATCACACATATAATATGGATATCACACCATATATTGTGGATATCTTTTCATGTATTTATACTTTTTTGTTTTTATTATAATTGTTAGCACATATTAATTGAATAGTATAATAAGTTTCTTCACAGCATCTTCATACATGCAAATAACATACTTTATATGTACTTGCCCTACTCCCCTCCCATACCCTCTTCCCCTACTCCTAATAGTCCCCATCTGCATTTATGTCATCTTTTCTAGATTGAAGTAACTTCCTTCAATGTTTATAATGGCTGAATAGCATTTCAGTGTGTAGATATATCTTAGTTTACATAGCCAGTCTCTACCTACTGGACAGTAGAATTGTCCCTCCACTACTGTCAATAATGTATTGATGAAGAACATCTTTAAATCTAAGTTTTTTTGTTTTTTGTGAATGTCCTTGACAATATTTTCAGGATGTAAAGAATGCTAGAAGTAATACTACTGGCTTAAAGAAAATGTTTGTTTTCAGGGTTTCTAATAGTTGTACAAAACTTACCCAGAAAAATTTTACTAATAAGTTCCTATTTTCCCAAACCTTTCCAATGCTCAGTGCTGTTTTCTTTTAAATAATCCTGTTAGCTGAATAGATAAAAACTAATATATCATTTTAATTATTTCACCCAGCAAACACTATGTGGAGCATCTACTGTGTGCTAGGCATGATGACTGGCACGAGGATACTATAAATAAGCAGGAACATACCTAGTTCTCTCTCTTGGCAGGGTTTAAAGTCCAGTAGTGGATCCCAACATTAAGGAAAGAATAATAGTCCAAACATGTATACTTAAACTATAATAATTACCAATAGAAGAGGTTCAGGGGCACTGAGCTGATGTAAAGGGGAAACCAACCAAGAGAAAGGATGTGGACGGAGATGGAGGCATCAGTCAGAAAGTGATGGTGTTTGAGCTGAAGGAGGAGTAGGAGTGATGGGAAAAAATGATTTTAAAAAACGATAAAGGCCCACAACCCCTTCAAAATCATGGGAGCCTCAGTCAACCTTGATGAGCTGTGCAGGAGGGGAGATTCCCCACTCCTCACCTCCCTGTCACCATAGGAGCCTCTGTCCAGAGGAACCAGTTGCCTGGCCCATCCCCTTACACCATGGGGTGGGCAACCAGAGTGGGAAGTGCCTGAGACGTGGCTCATCCAAAGGAAATCAGGGTAAATCTACTCTGACAAGGGGAAACACTTTGCATACAAAGTGTTGGTTGGTTTGGTTATATAACTATAGCCTTGCTCCTATGATCTAAAGTACAAAATTAATATTTACCACAGTTTGTCAATTTCTAAATTGTATTTGATGCTATCATTATTGCTAATTGTACTACTGTAGCTAGGATGTCACATCTGTTGCAATCAGTTGTTCTCCATTGTGTAACAATATTGGGAAGCTCTGGTGTAATAACCTCACCACACCCTATACCAAAAGATGAGACAGCGCCAAATAGAAACCAACATTCCACTCTCAATTAAATAGGAAAGTAGGATCTTGTGACAGACACAATCCAAGAATCTCTTATATGCAGAACATATCCCCAAAGAACAAACTTTTCCTAGAGAGGCCTTGATACTAATGCTATAGCTACCTACTGCCAGAACTTACAAGGATCATCACAGAAAACAAAATTTTAAAAAAATGTTTGATATAGAATATCAAGATGAAGGAGCAAATGCAATCTCAGACCTCCAGCCCACCCAAAACAAGTCTAGGAGGCATCAACATAGAAAAAAATTGGGACCCACACACCTGAAATTTCTGAAATAATTGTAACTGAAGTAAAGAAACAACTCCAGGAGGCTATAGAGTAAATCACATCAGAAAGAATCTCTCAGGTAAAAAAAGAAATGATAACCATAATGCAAGAATTGGTCAGCATATCTAGCAAAGACATAGTTTAAAAAATAGAGGAGCATAGGAAAATGATGGAAACATTGAATGAACAATGTAGGAAAGAATTAGAATGCATGAAACAGATTTAAAGAGATATCCAGGAACTTAAAAATTCATTGAAAGCTGGCAAAACCACCCTAATAAAAGTGAAGGTATATTTTCAGACCTTGATGACAAGATTGCAGCTAGCAATCATGAAAGGAAAGATCTCTTAAAAATAGCAAGGAACCAGGAAATAACAATCCAACAGCTGTGAGATGATGCAAAGAAAAACAGTATAAGACTGGTAGGTGTCAATGAAAAAGCAGGAGTCAATTCAAATGATGTAAAAAAAGGTTAAAATGGAAAAAAGGTTTTCCAATAAGGAGAAGAAGATGGGTTCAAGGGAGGGGAAGGGATTGAGAAAATAGAGAAGTCAAAATATATCATGTGCAGGTACAAATGCCCTATGATGAATATGATCATTATGTGTATCTAAAATATATCAATAAACTTCATTATATGTAT